TGTTTAGTTGCATCCTAATATATGTCACAAACTATCTTGAAAATATCTTTCAAGTATACATTATCGAAAACTGTTTGCGGCCCTTTTTACAATTTCCAACATGCAATGCGGCTCTCGAAAACCCATGAGTTTGACACCACTGATCTATTCTAGACAATTCAAGCATTGCTTTGGGAAATAATATCACTTCAATTAAATTGAAAAAAATCTTGCCGTATTAAATACAAAATCGTTGCTATCATAAAGGTAAACCAATTCAGCCACTGGGAATATATTGGCCTTCACAAAGCAATGGAGGCAAAATTGAGAGTTCATGAGCTATGAACTTTTGTTCTTTTCTTTGTCTTGAACTTTTCATACTCCACAGCCCCTATTAATTTTATTTTTAATTTCAATGACCATGTGATGGTCATACATATCTTTAACTTGTATTTTCTGTAATGATGTATTATCTCAATGTGTCAAACTTTTAATTAGTGTGCATATTTTGCTTCCAGATGACATAAATGTATTGTCTTGTTTATTACCTCAGCTTGGAGTATTGACAAGAAAAAGGTGCCAGTAAATTCTTTGTTATAATCAGAATTCACAATTAATAGGAATTATAAACAGCCACCAATCAATGAGAATTACATGCGAAATCCCTCACAATCAATTTGCCCAAAAAATTCACCTACTAGGGCAAGTTTGATAGGTGCAAACTTTGTGTTATGGAATTGTATCACAGCACCGTTAAGAGAAGTAAAAACAGTTCTGCTGTTTTGTATGACACCCTCTTTAAATGAAATTTCATTGTTTAAGCGCAAACAATAAAATTACTACCTTTGAACTTTGTCATTATCTGCAAAATGTCCCACACGAATCTTTACGCTATCGCGTTTGTAATCATGATGTCCATTTTACTCTTTACAGCTTGTATGTCATTCCAGCTTTCCAAGTGAGCAAAACTTCTTAGATATAGAGATTATTTTCTTACGTTACAGGCGCAAAAAGGCAGGTACTAAACGATAAGAGGACGCCGATTAGCAAAAGCAAGCGGAAAACGGTCGCGAAAGGCGACGAGAAATATGTGCATTGGAGCGTATCATGAAATACAATCTTTCGCATGTAGTCTTATGGAGTGACGTCAGAGTTGCCTATCATGTTGTTTAATGTCATTGCTCAGACAAACATTGCAAATATTCAGGCTTGTGTGGGACGATAGAGTGGTGCATTGCTCGTTTCAAAGGCCTTCGAATGGCATTTCACCGGTGATGGCGGTATTTTCGTGCTTCTAAAGTTATAACATATCGTCAAGTGATCTATTATTAACGTTATTCCGCCTTCACATTGCCGTTATCGTACCTAACTTAGTTCCAAAAGCCTATTTAACATACAAAAATGGAATCACTCAGAGATGGCTTTTCTATGACTTGGTTCTCCTTTTCTTTGCCCCAGCTGGAGAGGGATACAAAACTTTTCATTGAAAGGTGATATTTAAACTTATATGGTTGAAGAATGTCAGAGGACTGGGAGACGTGCGTGACTACTGGTACCACATCCCATGGTTCATAGACTAATAGGTACCGTACCGGTACCGTCCAAGTTAGGGCTGAATTGGTGGGTTTAGTATAGAAACAAATGAAATGCAGGGGCAGTTTAAAAAGTCTTTTGAATACATTCTTGGAAACATTGCACAAACTACAGCAATCTGTAATTATGAACAGATGAATATTTTTTTCAGATACATTCATGATGGGTTAGTCGTCAATCTTGGTTCAACGCTAGATTTCAAAGCCAAGTGCTATAGATAAGTTCAGGAGTCTCTGCCACCACATCATCTTCAAATAGTGGTGTCGCTGGATAGTCACCAAGTCTCTGATGCAATTTGTACATGCTAGGCACTTAAGTTTATGTCGTATCATAGAAACACAGATTTATTAGCCTAGAAAGATGGGTGTAAATATACTATTGAAAGATTAGATTCAACAGGTTTATTGAGGTATTATAATTGATTACATACCGTACCACATAAAGTTACAGGACCAATAATGTTATAGTGATGAACATGGTTTAAAAATTGTTACATATTCATCAGAACTACTGGTCCTTGTTGCCATATCGTTGGACTAACCAAGACTATCCAACAGATGAAATTGATGGGAATAAAGATTTTCTGCTGAGCCAAGCATGTACAGGCATTCCCCAGCATTGGTAACAACCTATATGGAGGGAACAATATAAAACATCCAACAGTTTTGTCGTCTGTAGTTGGTGCTAAGCCCACAAAGTTAGATCGAGCCAGAGTTCCAATCATACAGTTTTAACCAAAAACAGTGTGGTATCTGATAGATTTTACAATATAGTTTATTCATTCAGTGTAGAAATAGAATATAACAGATTATAAAAAATATATGATGAAGGAACAAGCAAGTAAATCCAGGCAAATGACTACAAATTATACAGTTTTCTAGATATTGTGTTGTAAAGGATAAAAATACACACAGATATATGCTTTTAGGCACAACAAACAAAAAGCAATGGAACGTCAAAATATTAGAATTAAATTCATTTCAGAATTCCATTCACTGACATAATGTATCACAATGATTTTACTTCTGAGTTATTTTATTAAGCTGCCTGGTTTCATCTCCTGATAATATGGAAGAATTGCGCTCACTGAGCACTACCTCATTGTTATATAGACAGATGGGCAAATACCCACCACTTGGTTCGGTTCTAAAGTTATCAGGTGATTATGAACAAGTTGTAATTTATATGACAGTGATGAATGCAAAACAACCTAACAAAATAATGATATTTATCACACACCACAGTTACTACCAAGTGCAGGGCCAACTTCTGGTATCAGGAGCAGCTTGGTGTGACTTTGCAGTGCGCACAAAAAATTATATTGCAATCACCAGGGTCACACCGGACGTGGCATACATGCGAAGCATCCTCTATAAAGTAACATCATTTAATTACCAATGGATTGTAAAAGATTCTGCATGAAGTCATAAGTCTTCAATATTAATTTTCCTTCTTTATTCATCATTTTTACAGTTGGCAAGTATGACACCAATGCTGGAAGAAGTATGTGTTTTCTCATTTTGAGTTATGTTAAAAGTGTTGCCCGATTCTGAATCTTGTTAATTCTTCCGTGCCATTTTTTAATAATTATTTATTTTTCTGGTAGGTAGCCGCGTACTTTTTGAAATCTATTTTAAGTTATGCTCGACTTCCAGTTTTCTCTGCATTTTGTTTGCATGTTGACTTTTTGTGTTGTTTTATGCCAGAGAACCATAATAAAATGATGATGATGCTTGCTTACAATTTTCTGCTGCCTGACAAAGCGCTGTCATTTTCTTCAGTGGCACTTGAGGTAGTTTCAACTAAAGAGTCTGGGGGCAGATCGTCAGATTCGCACGTCTCTGTATCAAGTGAAGTATCTGGTGACAGATCCTGTTAAATTATGATCCAAAGTTGAATTATGGTATAAGTAATCCTTACCTCACAATTTGTTGGTGCCTTTTTGTTGGGCAATAAGAATCTGATATAGTGTCAGGGTATTCATCAGTTGGTCCATCGCCTCCATGAAAATGCATGATGGAACGCATTGCCATTGCTTGTATGAAAATTTATGTCATATAAGAATTAACATATTGAATATATCATAGGTATCGAAAACAACATTAATGTTGGCCTACCTTGGTACACACGTATGCATTTCTGGTGATTTTTCCTAGATTGAGTTGACTGTGAGGCCTGTTGCATTCCTTCATCCACCTCATTGCTTTTTAGCGGTCAATATGTAGCTTCGGAAAAAGCACAAATCTTACTCTATATGAACGGCAGGGGTACCGGTACCGGTACAGGTTGTCAGACCGGAAAATACCATATGCAAAGAGTTAGTCTACCAAAATAATTCACTAGTAGATTCTGTTTAATAAAAATGCAACATCGCATCGGGGTTACTTTAATTACCGGAACGGACCCTAAATTACCGGAACGGGGTGGAAAACATACATAAACCTACCGGAACGGACCCTTAGATGTCTTGCAAATGTCATTTCATATACCTCCATGCAATTTTTGTATTAAATCGGCAAACTTGGGGGGGGGGGGCAGTGGTAAATTTAATTTTCTTTAATTACCGGAACGGACCCTAATTTGCCGGAACGGAGTGGAAAACCAACATAAACCTACCGGAACGGACCTTTAGATGTCTTGCAAATGTCATTTCATATACTTCCTTGCAATTTTTATAATAAATCGGCAAACTTGGGGGGGACAGTGGTAAAATTAATTTTCTTTAATTACCGGAACGGACCCTAAATTGCCGGAACGGAGTGGAAAACCTACATAAACCTACCAGAACAGACTTGTAGATATCTTGCGAAGGACATTTTATGTCCCTCCAAGCGATTTCCCAAGTAAAATGGGAAAATAGAGGGGGATAGAATGATAGAAAATAACAATTTCATTTTACGCCACCTAGCGGATGTAAATTGAGCAATGAATTCCTGAATCATCTCTTATCAATATGAATTGATGATAAAAATTGATAATCAAAACCTTCTTACATGTTATTAGTCTTTAATTTTCCTTGTAGATAAGATAACGTAGTAGATAACGTAGTCATAGATTCAGATTGAAACAAATAAAAATTGTTTCCACAAACATTCTTGTGCAGGTATTGTAACTATGTAGCACAACATGAATATCCACCTAAATCTGTCATTATTAGAGATGATGTTGTTATTTAAGTTCGTGTCACCCGTAAGACTGCTGTTCCGGCACTGTAATCTACCTTGATAGATTGCATATTGCTTCGTGTCCATATATTTGAGCATCGTCCTCTTGTTTACCCACAACATACAAATCTGATCCTCTAAAATGACTCCTTCAAAATTTACTAATATGCTATTGACTTAGCTGCAGATTGTTAATTTCCCCACTAGGTCTCGAAATTTATACGCAAAATATAAAACGTGCTTTCTTATAATTTTTCACCAACTTAAACGTAGGAACTCATGCTCAAATTCGTTCTGCCAGTGGAGGTTTTTGTATTTTACAAGAGTAGAAAAAAATAGAAAAAATACAACAAAAAAATGAATAGACAAAAATAGAATATTGAAAACTAACTAACGGGAAGTGGGAACGATTAAAAATATTCAAAAAAAAAGGAAAGAACCGAAGAAATGAAAGAATAAACAAAACACGAGTAAAATTCAACTTAGTTTTTGTTTCTTGTCTTGAGTTTCTTTACAGTTCGGGTTTTTTCGGATCGAGGTCGTTTTCTTTGACACGGTTTTTTGCCACCAGATGAATTTACTCCGATCATTAACATTCCATTCGATGACAGTAATGATTTTCGTTGAAAAATTGAAGAGAAGGTAAGAAATCTTTTTAGTAAATTTAATTTTTCTTCTTTTGCTTTCCCAAAATATTTGTTTGAGGCAATGAAAAAATGATTAAACTCAGTTGCCAGACGGTAATTGCCTACTCCAATAAGCGCACGCTCCACATCTTTATATCGGGCTTTTGTGTGAGCAATCAGCCGCTCTATGAGAATATCTATGTTTGTAGATTTTCAATCAATCATGTGCTTGAGTACGTGGTTCATACTTTCCGTGTTGTTGTTAGTCCAGTGTGCGCTAAGCTGTTTGTTCTTTGTTACGCAAAAAATACCCTTCTTTATCAGCGGTAAAACCCGTCTTACCAAATAATTCCTCAATGACGGGTTTTCTGTATTGTGTAGTAGATCCAAAGTCTTTTTTTCAAATGATTCTTCTTTTTCAGTTGTTATTATCCCTGTACGTCCAAAGATGGTCTCATTAATGCGTCTTCTTTCGCTCACATTCAGCCCCACTTTATTTTTCATAAATTCCTCGACATTACTCTTCAAATGACGAGAGCATATTATATTAGTTGAATCAGGAAAGTTTTCAGAGATTGATTTACGCATAGCTTTTTCATCATCAGTTCCTATTGTCAGTAATTTTGTATCAACGTTGTTTAAAGCACCGGAAAGTAATGAGAAAAATTGATTATAGCATTTTGCAGAAGATGACGAGTGAATGTATAAAGGTCCGAGCATAATTGGTGGTTCCCCAGTTGTTTTATTTGTTACAGATAAATTCTTAAATGTGGTCACTGTCACATGAATCTCGCACAGATTGAAAGTTTTGTCCACAGTTAGTGGCGTTCGGCCTGTACAACAAAATCGTTTAATGTCGCTGATTTGATCGTCGCTGAATATTGTCACATCGATACTATTACTGGTAAAATTGACGGAGCGAACCATTGGTTCCTGCTGACATAGGGAAACAACACGCAGCATTCTGTCAGCTAGATTTCCGACAGGACCATTATGGTTGTTTTTTGTTTTTTTGTCGTTGTGCTTTTTAGAGTACAGTTGACAGAGATTCCTCGGTGTTTGTACTAATTCTTTGTCTTGTAGGAGAAAGTCATTGTAAACCTCTCTCGGCTTCTTTTGTTGCAATTCTTGTGAAATTTTCTCGAGGGTGGCCGGTCTGGTACGAAAATACTGTTCATCACATTTTGCATTGTCGTGGATGGTTTTCACTTGATTACTGCCGACAAACTCAACCAGAGCAATTTCATCTTTGACCTTTATTAAATATGTCGGCGCTGACAGTATACACGTAACACGTTTTTTAAACATTCTAGTCTTTCTTAGAATTCCAGACGCCACAATCGTCCGAAAATTCGCTTCGGTATCCATTCCTACGATTCTCTGCATTTTTGGTGTTTGTGATGAGAAAATATACATTTTCTTTACTACCAGTTGGAATTTCAGGTAACACCGTGCCTGGTTCACAACGGCCAAAAATTTGAATAACATGTTCCAAGCTTAGGAATTTTCCGTTTGGCAGAGGAACGCCTCGATTATTGGATACTCTGCATGTATCGGATATAGAATGAGGCATGTCAGGAGTTACAACACCAGAACACCTACAGTTGCAGAGTCCTTTGGTGCATCAACATGTTCGTCTTTGCTGGTCGACTCGTCTGATATTAATTTGTCATAATTACAAAATGTTTCCGAGTCCGATAGTATACTAGGGGAATCCGGAATTAAAATCGTATCGTATTTTTGAGCTGGTCCTTCGAGGAGAGGTACAAAATGATTTGTTCTAAAATCTTTGTCTGTTGGAGGAATCGTCATTTGGGTCCACATTATTGTCGTTTTCGATTGTTGCGTGGCTCTGACGTCACGGCCACAAATTTTCCTTGTGAAAGGCTGGCTTAGGAAAACGTTGGCGCTGGTTTGAGGGTAATAAGATTGAATCGGAGCTTTGATAACTGAACTCAGGCCATACATGTGCATCATTTCTGAAAAACATCCATCCGTTCGAGCTGAATGTATCAAATCCGAGTATTTTGATGTCACAACCCGATCATCATCAATCGGGTTTTTGAAAGCAGGAAATTCTATGTCGTAAAAATCTTGATGTTCCCTAATTTCAATTGCTGTCAAGAGGCGTAAATGTTTGTGATAGTCTTGTGTTCCATATAACGAGACGGATACTGCCCTGTACAAGCAGTTTCCATCGCCTTCCACGTACATTGGAGTAAAACAGTCCAGCATGATTGGATGAAACTTTTGCAAAATATTCTTAGACACTGAACATTCTCTTATATGATTCTCAGATTGTGGTGCTTCTAAAGGTATAACTTGATGATTGTCTAACAAACATTGCAACGATTTGGTCAAGTAAGGGCGACCTGCTAACATCCGTAACGCCATGTCGTAATCGAACTTTTGATTCGGGCACAAGCACCTTGCACATAAAAAGTGCATGTCTTTCTTGCTCCATACTTCCATGACTTTTGGTTGTTCTCCAAGACAGGAAGCATGTGTCCAGGTCTCACACATTTCACATTCAATGCACTCGTCAATGCATTCAATGGAACAGGTGGCACATGGGTATCTTAATGCACTAGACATAGCGTAGTAGGCTGTCTTTTGACGTTTGCGTTGAATATCTGAACCAGAAAATGGAACTCTTAGTTAAAAGTAATAAAGGTATATTTGATATCGACTAGTACAATTAAAAATTATCATTCTGACTCATTCATATATTATATACATTCAAGATCTTAGCGTTTCGGACAAAGACACTTTTAAAATACGGACACCATTTCCTCATTCGAAGTAAACTTCAATAAATATATTAATCCTTATATAAAATACTAAAAAGTTATCTGAGCTAGCAAAAGTTGTACATACCGATAAAATCGTCGAACTGGCTTGGTATTTTATCCTTGGCACGTTGATGGAGAAGATATAAAAACTAGGAGTACAATTACAAGAATCGTAAATAATCTGCTTTAGATTCCTGATGCTAATAGTTCGAATATTAATTCGAAATGGCACATAGGTCGCTTTTCTGTCGCAAAGAAATCTCCGGCCATGACGAACAGCCCAGCGCCAGTCCTGCTGCATTTCAACTTTGGAGGCTCGAAGCTGTGTTATCAGTAGATAAATCAGTAGGAGCACTTTGAACCGTCCTCGCTATAAAGGCTATAGCGACAATCGTTTTCAACTCGTGGTCAACTCTCGCATTTTCCTATGCTGAAATTTTAAATTCAAGTATTTTGTCAAATATGTTAACGTTATTGATATATTAAAACATTTATGTAAGGTTTTATATATTTACCGATATATATATATATATATATATATATATATATATCACATATATATCATATTTAAATATATATCACAATTATTTCGTATTTGATGAAATGCAACGACATCCCCACTTTCATCATAATTTAAGGTCACGTACTTCAACCAGTTCCAATATAAAATGTTTAGCTACATAGTTACAATGCTTGCACAAGAATTTTGTGGAAACATATTGATAAGAGATGATTCAAGAATTCATTGCTCAATTTACATCCGCTAGGTGGCGTAAAATGAAATTGTTATTTTCTATCATTCTATCCCCCTCAATTTTGGAGGGAAGATATCGCAAGATATCTACAAGTCCGTTCCGGTGGGTTTATGTAGGTTTTCCACTCCGTTCCGGCAATTTAGGGTCCGTTCCGGTAAAAGAAAATTAATTTTACCACTGTCCCCCCCAAGTTTGCCGATTTATTATAAAAATTGCAATGAAGTATATGAAATGACATTTGCAAGACATCTAAAGGTCCGTTCCGGTAGGTTTATGTTGGTTTTCCACTCCGTTCCGGCAAATTAGGGTTCGTTCCGGTAATTAAAGAAAATTAAATTTACCACTGTACCCCCCCAAGTTTGCCGATTTAATATAAAAATTGAATGGAAGTATATGAAATGACATTTGCAAGACATCTAAAGGTCCGTTCCGGTAGGTATATGTATGTTTTTCATCCCGTTCCGGTAATTCAGGGTCCGTTCCGGTAATTAAAGGAACCGCATCGTATCGAAGGTGAATCAATCAATCATCGTTTATTCGTCAACACAATCAATATAAATATATCACGGAAATATGGCAAGATATATAATAAGTAAAAAAAAGAACTTCATATGTGTGACAGGAGTCGCGAGGGACCACGAAAGGTCTTCGAGCAGCGACACCTACGATGCTGATTCAGCTTAATAAATAAATTTAGTTAACGCCTATGCTTCTAATCATTATTATTTACAAAACATAAAAAACATGACATCAAACAATTGAATAATATGTGTATATAACAAATTTGAAAAACATGAAAACCACCAAATAGCTATTACAAACTTCTTTATATATATATATGAAGGAGAAAAAATCCAAATTCAAAGAGAAACCAATCGTAATAAAAGTAGATGAAACTCTAATAAACGTACAATTAGGTTTTTAGACCGTGTACATAACATTGAGGTGTATATAACACCTCAATGGTACATAACGGCATAATCGTTGCCAACCAAGCAGCAATTTTGAAAAATAAGGACTCCGTGCACCTCTGAATCGCTCGAGCTGGGATCAGCGTTGTCAAGAATAACAAGCCAAGGTCACATGCTGTCGTGAGTCAGATGTTAAGAAACGGCAGCAGATTAGAATTGGTCATTAAATTTTCAGATGATCAACTTCCAGAAAGGTAATTATCAATATATTTTATTTTCAGGTCTCTTTTAAAACCATGATATGACAGTGATCTTATGGTACCTGGTAAATCATTCCACAACTTCACACCCATATTGGCCATATACTTTATAGATTTTTGTGTTGAGCATAATGTATATCTTGGGACATATAAGGCACCTTGCGAGGCAGATCTAGTGCGATATGAATGGACTGCAGTCTGTTTAGTAAAATACCCTACAAATGCCTTTGGAAGTTTGTCGTTGAAGTACTGGTGCATGAGTTTCAGTATCTCAAATTCATGGACATGGTGAAGTTTTATAATGTTAAATCTATGGTACAAAGGATCAAGTCTGGTGTGTAGAGGTGCGTTACCAATTGCTCGGATTGATTTATTTTGCAGCACCTCAAGTCTGCGAATCAGTGTGGATGATGCACTTCCCCATGCAACAATGCCATACTGGAGATATGATTGGAATAGGGAAAAATAAACTAATCGCATAGCTGATGTGGTAAGAAATGTTTTTAATTTAAATAATATTCCCGCTGTTCTAGCTAGCTTGCTGGCTATGTAGTTGATATGTGATGCCCATTTCAACTTATTGTCTATATATATACCTAGGTACTTATAAGAATTGACATTCTCGAGTGGAATGTCATTAATAAAAATCTGAATCGGTTGCTTACTTTTTTCATTTTTATTATGGCTAATTAATAGAGATTTGGACTTTTCAATATTTATAGTAAGTTTATTACTAGCCATCCAAGATGTGATTTTTTGCATTTCAGAGTTCATGTACAGTTCCAAATCATTTGATGAAGCTGAACTTCCGAATAGTCCAGTATCATCAGCAAAGAGTTTCACAAGTAGGTTAGTGGCATGAGGGAGATCATTGACAAAGAGTATGAACATTACTGGCCCGATTATCGATCCTTGTGGAATTCCACACTGTACAGTTTCAAGTTTAGAACAATGTGATCCTATTTTGACATATTGTTGACGTGAGCTCAAGTAGTTCTGGAATAATTTTGATGCATGTCCGCGAATACCATAGTGGCACATCTTTTTAACTAATATGTTATGATCAACGGTGTCGAATGCCTTTTTTAGGTCGAGGAATATGGCACTAATATGCTCTTTTTTATCTAATTCGTCATAAAAGTAAGAAACCATGTCAAGAATCGCATGATTAGTAGAGTGCTTTTTTTGGAAACCGAATTGGGATTTGTTTATAATGCTATGGTTATCTATAAATTGTATAAGTCTGGTGTGTAGAAGTTTTTCAAATACTATTGTTATGGCCGAAAGAACTGAAATAGGTCGATAGTTGGATGCACATTCTTTTTGCCCACTTTTGAATACAGGAGTAACTTTGGCAATTTTCAAGCAATTCGGGAAAATGGTGCAGTCTATGCAGGCATTAAATAACTTGCAAAGCATAGGGGACACTATATCAGCAGCATTTTTTAAAAATTTAGCTGGTATATTGTCATACCCAACCGCTTTACCATCCGGTAGCATTGCTATAGTGCTAAAGATTTCATTGAATGTTGCTGGTCTAAGAAATAAGGATTCTTTCACTGGATTTTTGAGATTAGTCGAAAAAGACTCATTAGACTGAGGTATACTTTCAGACAGTTGTGGCCCTATAGAGGTAAAATGATTGTTGAGATAGTTGGCAATGCAGACTGGATCACATACCATCGACCCATTTTCAGTTTTTAGCTCTTTGATTGCAAGTTTTCTTTCTTTTTTGATATTGGCCAAGTGTCCTATCAACTTCCAAGTAGATTTAATATCACCACAAGTTTGTTTAAATTTATCGAAGTAATATAATTTTTTTGCTTTAGTTATTAGGGTTTTTAATAATTTACTGTAAGTTTTGTATGATCTATGTTGAATATCGTTACCTTTTTTGAAGTGGGTTTTGTACATTTTATGCTTCTTTCTAATAGAAACATGAATCCCTTTGGTGAGCCAAGGTTTGGCTAGAAATCTGGCTTCGCTCCGACTTACTGCTTTCAAAGGCGCATGAGCATCAATAGTTGTCCGAATTATTTCTATGAATGTTTCAAATAGAGTATTCAAGTTATCACTAGTGATTTGGCAATTTGAGATTGGGCTAAGAGAAGATTCTAAATTGGTTCTATAGGCATCAATAGAAAAGTTTTTCATATCTCGTTTCAATATTTTATCTTGATCTTGACCCCCTTTAAATTTTGAATCATAGACTGTGCAGAATTGTGGATAGTGATCACTGATGTCACTAAGAATAATGAAGCTCATTAGGTCAAATTTTATCGCATTTGTAAAAATATTGTCAATTAGTGTACTGGATGAACGAGTTACCCTTGTTGGCGAGGTAATTAAGGGCAGTGACAAATTTGCTAGGAGCATATCAATGTATTTCATAGTTGCCAGATCTGTTGTTGGACTTAGTAAATTTATGTTGAAATCTCCTAGTAAGATAAACAATTTCTTTTCTTTATTTAAATTTTCTAAACTGTTGGATAATTTTTCTGTAAATTTGGGAATGTCTTTTCGGGGATGTTTGTAAATTATTCCAATTATGAATGTAACAGTTGGACTCAGTTTAAGGTTTATCCACAAATCCTCACAGTCTGGGTGATTCAAATCATAATCCTGAGTTTCAGTGATGACTAAGCCTTGCTTCACATACAGTCCTACTCCACCAGCACTTGTTTTGGAGGGCTTATGAACAAACTCGTAGTTCTGTAAGGAGATGTTTGAGATTGGATTAATACCAAGTCTCGTTTCGGATATCGCAATGAGGTCAGGGGGGGTAATAAATTCAGATAGTAAGTTCACTAAATTATCATGGTTTTTTTGAAGAGACCGAATATTTATATGAAATGCAATAAGACCGTTTTTTTTAAAAGATTTACTAGTTGTTTTTAAATTTGGCACTTCTACTTTTTTACATTCACATCTACTTATTTCATGCAAAATTTTAGAATTGAACGCAAGTGCACCATGAATCTGATTAGATGACTGATGGGGCAGTGATGCAACTGAGCACGGTTGGCAAAAATGGGAGCATTCAAGATGGAAATTGGACCCACATATCTCACAGGTTAGTTTTGGTTGGCACGATATTAGTAAGTTTTTACATGAATAACATGTTAGTTCGGTATTGATTAACTAGGAAAATAAATGAATAAAAGGTACACTCACATATAAGTTATTGAATTTTAGAAAGGTCATCTTCGTAACGAATGTTCAAAGAGTTTTTGATCTCAGCATTTTTCTTCACAAATACTCTCCCATTTGATGTCCAAATAAACTTATAGCCGCAGTTGTTTTTTGCAGCTCGTGCTCTAAAATACAAGTCCTTATTGAGGGCTGTCAGATTTTCAGCAATGAAAATTTTTGATGGATTACTGAAAATGGTATTCGGTGTCATTGAGCGTAGAAATTTTCGTTTTTCAAAGATTTTGATTTTGTTTTTCCGGTGTACAAATTTGGCGATTATAGCTGGAGATCTTGTTTCTTCCCCCGTTGTTGGCATCCTATGAGACACAGAAATATCAGTGGCTTTGATGTCGACACCTATCATCTTCGCAATGTTACAAACAATTTCATCTGTGTCCTCATTTTGTTTTACAGGAATCCCATGAAACTCAAGATTCTCCAGACGTCCCCTTCTCTCCTGATCTTCCACTTTTTCTGAGACATAGAACAAATCGTCTTCAAGATCATATATTCTTTCCAAGAGATTTTCAATTGTTTTTTTGTTTTCAATTGTTTGTTTTTCTAAAGTTTTATTTCTTTCTGCCAGATCATCATACATTTTGGTGTGGAATGTCTGACTTTCTTTAATTTCTGATAGTTCGGTTCTAATTTCCCTCATGGATTGGCCCAGATCATTAAGAATATCCTGAATGTTAGGTGTTATGGGGGTGAGGATGTCGGAGTTGCCTGAGTGTTCCAGGTTTTCCTCCAGACATTGACCTATCATTGCTGGCAGTTGTAAAGTTCTTGCATTTATGATGTTCCTTGATATAACAGGCAATATTCCACTCACAATTTCATTTTATTGTGGCGAATCGGTCTTGGATATATATTCTTCAGATTGAGCCTCAGCCTGTTGTCTTATTTCTTTTGGTGATTTTGTAGATGATTTTTGCTTTGCGTGGTGTTTTTTCTTTCGGTGGTGGTATTGGTGTATTCATTGTTCAAATGAAGTAGAAGCAATAGTTTAATTATACAGCGACTACTGCAACCACAGGCTACTGAGCTCACATTCATAAATATTTAAGTGTTACTGTGAAGTCTTAATTTCTTTCGTATGGACATACGGTAGGCTACCGGTACCCTTGATTGCATCAGCATAACTGTCTACTATTTTGTGGTTCGAAATAGCAGTTGGTTGACCTGTACGGTACCGTACCGTACCTGTAAGGTGCCTGCAACGGGTACAGCCTTTTAGTATAGATATATAGATTTCGTGAACGTGATTTGCAACAAGTAACATACAGTATTACCGCTTTCTAATTCTCGCAGCCCTGTGAAGAAAACAAAAAGCGAAAAAAAGGACAAAGATCTGCCTAAACCGCCAGCAACGTGTGCGGAACGCGTCCAAAGTTGTCTGAGCGACTTTTCAGCGGAGAATGTTTGTTTACATCTGCTCGCTTGTGATTGGTTGAAAATACGGATGTTTTGATGTCGGGGAAAGGTCCATAAACTGAAATACTAAGGTAATTCAGGACAGAAAAAAGTTAACACTTAGGGCAAGAAGATAATCGCTATAAAGCTATATCGATATGCCATGCTACCACAATCGATTTCTTCGAGGCACATATGGTTTGCACAAAACCATTGGGACATGTCATGATAAGTGATCATGTTAGGTCAAAGGTCACTGAAGATGACCTTCACGCTAGTAATGTTCTGTGTACACATGCCATGTGCTAGTATTTTGTGTTTGTGTTAGGCTGCTATAGTTGTATGTTAATCTGACTGTTTCTGTTGACTGAGAAGTCATCCGTAATAAATGCCTGCTGAATAATATATAAAGCCTCTTTATACATGCCTTGTGTGTTTGGCTAGACAACACATGAAAGGGCACATTCTTCTTTTGTCACAATATCCATCAACAGTGCATCGCACGCCGGAACCGCCCGGAAGACTACGTTGGAAAATGTCGCAATTTCCAAGACAATTTTGGGCTTTGTGATAACACAATACCTAGGGTTACCATATTTTTTGACTTGAAAGCGGGACGCCTCCAAAGACACGACCTCTTAGCTGTGATCCTGTAATTTTACAGGTCCCAATTTACTACATAGGCCTGAATTTAAAGCCATCCCCGGCTGTCTTCATTGACCATATTGTCATCGGGAGTTCATGCGCATATTCTTTGTCTAAATATCGGGTTCAGTTCGAAAAATAGAAAGGAATAGACGCTAACGATACAAATGATCCTAATTTAGATTTTTTTATGTACAGCAAAAGGAATAAAGAATCATGAAATAGTCTGCTGTTTTCGAGCATTGAGAATTAACTTTTTCGCCCAAGCATGCTTTTCTGTAGATAACAACTTCAAAAAGACGTTGTTCAATGTTGCATTCGCGTGAACGTCCAAACAGAACCAATTAGAGTTGATTTTACGTGTGATACGTTCGCTAACAATGTTAGCGGGAAACAACGAAACAAACAAAATAACGCATTCACCTTCCGTAAGTAGGCTAGCGTTGCGCTACACAGCAATAGCGGTAACGAGAACATGTTCGTGTATTATGCTGGATGACTGAATGCCAAAGCGGGACTTTTGAATGACTTGTCCGGACAAAACGCTAAAAAGCGGGACTTTTGGCTGACTTGTCGGGACGGCGGGACAAAACGCTAAAAAGCGGGACTGTCCCGCCTAAAGCGGGACGTATGGTAAGCCTAACAATACCTATATGTCCAAGTGCCGCATCTCATGCTCATGGTATAATTTTTCTTTTGTGTTGTCCCAAGTGAAGGTCTCTTCGGAATTAGCAACTTCGAGAAAGTGATCACTCAACATGTTGCTTCTGACTTTAGGAAAGGGTCGAATGATTGGGTCGTATACAGCAATCTTTTTCGTATCCGTATTTACTTTTATTAGCTCCGACTGAGTTAGCAACAAAAAGGACCACATAACAGTCAACCACTCACACCTATTTCTGTCTACCCTGACAGTTCATAGGAATGGCATAGAAAGTATGTGATGTTACTGCAAACGAACGAACCGCGTAAGTCGGGAGTTCATTCCATCCTATATTGATGAGTGGGCAAAAAGGATGCTAAAATGCAGTGGCGGCACGTGGTCATTTTGACAACCGGGGCAAGCTACTGCGGGACCAAGTCACCCCCATCTACGGGGACAGGATGAGCGCTGTAAGTTCTCCCATCATTTTATGAGTATAAAAACCATTCCATCGGTAACAACCAATCGGCAAAAGCAACAATTTTTAACGATAAGAAAGTGTCTTTAAAACCGTTCCAAGTCAAGGGATTAATAAATATAGACATAGTTTATTTTGAAACCTCTTTCAAAAGGAAAGGCAATATTTACCCAGATAAATACAATGACATATTAACAGAAACTTCGGGAAAGCAGACAAAACCTAAAATAAGATTTAAAACGTTACTATGAAGAAAGGAAAGTTATGCAAAGATAAGGACATGCGTCGCTCACTCATAGATATATATGCTGCTAGACTTCTACTGCTTGAATATATATGCAACACGCCGCGGTTTCTTGGAAGCAAAATGCTCAATAACGCGCTGATTAAAGTCATGCATCCCAGAAATAACGTCTCTGTGAATGGATAAAACAGCCAAGGAGTTTAATCTATTCTATTTCATTGTGTTTCTGAGATACGTTTTAATACGCTTCAGCATGCTGAATGTTCGCTCTGCGTCGGTGGAAGAAATAGGCGTCGTCAAAATGATGTCCAGAAATTTTGCAGACGCCGCAAAGGTAGTTACTAGAGTGTTATCTATGAGGAACCCATAGAGCGCGCAAGTTGATGAGATGTTCAAAAAAGTTTGATTGGTGTATATAAATCGCAATTCATTTTCCAATTTACCGACGTTTATCATGGGGTAAAATTTGGAGACAGTAGCCAACAAATGGATGGGAAATTGACGTGCAAAATTTGAAAAATTTTTGGGGTTCATCAAAGAGAACGCGGCAAGGTGTTCAGTGCGCAGACGATCGCCTATTTGATTCACCAGAATGCCACAGCATTCCTTTGTAGACAAAATCAAACGCTGCGTTGTTTGCCCGCGGCGTAAAGAAGCACTCCATGTGTCGTCGTATTTTATTGTTTCCCGGATACGAGATACAGCATCGCAGAAGCCTGAAATACACGACTGCACAGACGCTCCATCCATTAGCTTTGACTGCAATGCGCGGTATAATACATCCACGTGATAGAATATTGTGGAGAAAATGAAAACTCACCATCTTCTAGCAGACGCTTTAGACCTGCCGCCTCCCTCACAGAGCGTTCGTCCCAAACCGGAAAGCTCTGAATGCCATTGAAACACTCAATGAGCTCAGACCTAATTTCGGACACGCCCTGCACCACGCGTGATTGGAAGTTCCAACGTGTTGGTGCACAAGCTGGGAGACGGCGGCTACATATCTGGCGAAGGAGGTCAGAGCGCTTCGGCGAAACGGAAAAAATGAAGAAAACCCCGAAACATTTGCAAAAAATATACGGACGAGAGGGGTATCAAGACACATATTCTTAATAACGAGGTTAAATTGGTGTGCATAACAATGTAAAAAATGCGCATGAACAAAATATTCTTTTATATAAACTTGAACACCATGTTTCGACCCACTCATGAATGCCGCGCCGTCATAAGTTTGAGCTATCAATTTTGACTTCGCGTTGTAAGGCTGTAACACTTCTTTCAGTACAGCCGATATCCCGCAAGCCGTGCGATCAACGATTGGTACAAAGCTGTGAAATTTCTCGGTAGGTTTATCATCTTTCACAAACCGAAAAATCACAGCCAGTTGGGAAACGCACGTGATGTCAGTTGTCTCGTCAGACTGAATCGAAAGGAACTGGCAATTCTCAATTTCCAGAGCCAAATGTTGTAATTAAAGTTTATACATTGAGTCGAGCAAATCATTTTGGATATCCTTAGATATCCCTTTCGAAACAGTTGCGGCATCAAGATGATCTCTCAATACTGTATCTAGGGATGCGGTGTATTCCACCATATCCAAAAATACCCCTCTATTAGAAGAGCCAGCCCGTTTATCGTGCCCACGGAGGGACAGCTCGTGACAACCAATGAACTTCAAAACATCTATCAATCGACCGAGAACATGGCGGTTTTTTCGACGTTTTGGTTGTGCCGACGAATAGAAACCGCGCGTCCTTCATCCAACTGTGCTGCAATATTAACATTTCCGAATGTTCGGTATTTTACTGCATTGTCCAGGTGCTCCTTAGAATATTGATGATCCCTGACACGCTCGGAAAGATGTTTAAGATCTCTAAAACCAAATTTACACCAACGTGAGTCACGGGCGGTAGCAAAAAGTAGGCAATAAAAACAAAAAAGTGCATTTTTGTCCTCGCTGTAACACAACCATTCGTGTTTTTTATACCAAGTTTCTTCGCAGAATGTACGCCGACGCTTTCCTCCGTCATGGGATTGTTCCAGTGAACAATTTTTTGGTTGATAAGGCCCAAGACGTTGTACCTCTAATTTTTGTTCCAGCGGCAGCTGCGAAAACGGAGTGCGAAGTAGTGCATCAACCTCATTCATTATGAGGTCTAAGGCTAAGAAATGCGAAGCCGGAAAGAAGTGAGGAGCTCAAAAGGAATGTGGAAAATCGAAAGCAAATGGACTAAAGGTCTCTAACTGATTCAAAAAGCGAAACAAGCGACAAAAACGAAGGCGAGGAAACTATCAACTCTTCAAGCAACCAACGAACGAGAAGGAATGCGTGAATATGTCAACACGTTGTTGTAAGAAACGTCGGCATTGTGTCGGCATAATTTCGGGGCTAGCCCCGATCGGCCCCGATGATTTAGTAAAAGAAACAGAAAACAAACGAGACAAACGCGGCGAGTGGAAGATAAAAGAGAGAATACGATATACAATGAGCAACCGGGGCAAAATCGGCGTCGCCCCGTCGACGTTCGGCGAAGGCTTTGCGAGCGAAAAATGAACCATGTCGGGAGAATATGGCTAGTGTAAACAGTCTGTGCAACCGATATTGAGGTATTTTTCGAATATTTTTTATTATACCGAAAAAACAACCGGGGCATTGCCCCTGTTGCCCCTATTGACGCGCCGCCACTGCAAAATGCTTTACTGGTATCGGGGCTTTGCTTCAAGTAATCTTTTATAAAAAACAATTATTTTTGTGTGAAACTGCGGCCTAATATATCCAAAATGCAAGAATGGATTAGTAAGAAAAAGACTCATTGGCAGACTCATCATATATATATCAAATCCATACTTCCGAAAACTGCACGATCAATTCCATGCTTCCGAAAATAACTAACTAATCTCATACCCGACATGGAATGGTAACCGGACGAGAGGCTGTGGTTCGCCATACGGTATGCCGTCTTATCGGCTTTCATCTCCCCCTGGATAAATATGTAAAATCTTATTTTATTTGAAATATCGTAATTCTTTACTTTGTAATTTTGATTTTTGACGAATGAAAATATAAGACATCCCCGAAAATAAGCCCCAGTGTTGGTTTTGGAAGAAACTTGAAATAAGACCCAGTCTTATTTTCTGGGAAACACGGTATGTAAATCCTATGCAAACTAATTCCATACCCGACATGGACTGGTAACCGGACGAGAGGCTGTGGTTCGTCATATGATTAAGCCGGTTTATCGGCTTTCCTTTTCCTCTGGATAAATATGTCTATCCTAATAAAACGACCCTTGTTATACACATAATACATGAAATAAATCAGGGGTGTGCAAACTGCGGTCTGTGGGCCAAATGCGGCTCGCAAAGAAAAATTGTGCGGCCCGCGGAAAAGTGCCAATTTTGAAGGATGTGTCGGCAAAACGAGCTTTTATAGTCAATCTGGAACGTGCGAGCAATTTCAATCTAATTGTGTCGCGAAATACCAATACCCGAGTGCCATTGCCATATCAGTAAAACTAGCTAGCAAGATCTTTTTGGAAAATATACAAAGTTATAAATGCGTGTTTCTTTCTCACTGAATTCGTCGGTGTGACAATAAATTTAAATAGCAATTTTCTTTAGAAGTTTTAGTTTTTCTAATTTTGCGTTTTAACTCAACATTTCTGCCAGGACCCCGAACAATGCCGTAAGATCAATAACGAAAAAAAATGGTGCTTGCATCCACAATAGAAACTCTACCTACGAAAGGCTCTGGATACGAGAAAATCTACTTACGAAAATTCTTTTCGTAAAAATATTGCGTCGACTAACGTAAGGTTTTCTACATACGAAAACCGAAAATGCATGTAGTGACAATTGTTCATTTTAGGTTATTTAATGGAGTTGTTGAAGCACGGATGTCCGATTCGAATATCGCAAACTTCGAATATTGTTTTCCGTGTTTGTAAGAATACCGAATATGGCACACATATCCTAGCGCAGCCGTTAACGTTTCGATTTGAAACATTTTGAAAGCATGAAAGGATTTCAATTAGCGCCAATTTGAATTGCTCAATACACGTCCAGGATGTTTTTGATTAAAAATATTTACAATTATTATCGTATATTATTTCAATTTTGTCGAGATAGTTTGTGAGGCCTCGGCAATAAATCCAAATCAAATTGTGTCGTAATTAATTGTTTTCATCCTTTCATTTCGATTGTGACCGAACATGAGGGCAAATTTTCTCATTTCTTGCAATTTAGAGAGTATAAAATAGCTCTTTTAAATATTATTTAGTAACGGTATCTATCGCGGCGTCGTTGATGACAATATCTTTTAGTTTAGGTTGACCGTATTAATTTATAATCAAAATAAAATCATAATAGCCGACATTATATATTTAAATCAGCGCCGACTCGCAAAATAAAAGAAGATTTCCAGTCTTAATTATCTTTTATTGGCAGATGAGAGTTTGGGAATTAGGTTCACTCATTTGATAATGACGATGATCGCGTAATTGCATTTGCGTTTTGTTGAATCAACAAATGGTGTCGCGACCAATATAAAAATAAAGTCCGTGGTAGCTGCCCTGCCACACGCCGATCGAATATCTGCCATCCCATTGGCCCGTTTGTTTCCCGCGGGCACGTACAATAAGTCTCACTCAGTTTTATTTGAGAAGACGATGATACGCCACGTAACAGTTGAAACTGAAAAAAATGAAATAAAAAAAATAGGGACTGCAAAATGAAAAGCGTGAATTATAATTTTAAATTTCATGTGCGTGTGCTCATTTTCGTACATTACGTTCTCTCTTAGATTTCAACTTCTAACGCCTCCTCTCACTTCCCCCGACCGCCGTCCTCCCACTTTCCACGTTCTTCGCTTAGCTCAGTCAAATATTATGTCCGAGTTTTGTGGGGGCTTGAAAAGGATTAATGCATTTTCAGGTTAAGAACGTGATACTTGCGGAATTTTCTACTTACTTCTACTTAAAATTCTGTAAGGTACATATATGGTAAGAAGAAAGAACAGAGAAATACCGAATGAACAAATTTTTTGTATACAGACTTTTTTGGTGTGGCCCAGTTACTTGTATTTGGCCCGCCTGTAAAAAAGGTTGCACACCCTGAAATAAATGACCGCGATGATCATCAACCAATTTTTGACATTTGCTGGGATAGAAAATCCGAAAATTGTATTAGCTTGACTGCCGTGATCGCAATAAATTGAAAGCCCCATCACAACTGAGGGTTTGGCTTTCAAGCTAACGTACATGTAGCCTAGTTTTTGTGGATTAGGTTTAGGCCAGGGGTGGGCAACATGCGGGCCGCGACGAGATTTTGACCGGCCCGCTGACTGTCTCCAACCACACTCTGTAATGTGGACCGACGCATGATTCCTGAAAGTTGCCGATCGCTCTACCTCTCATCGCACTGTCAGCGCGAGCTGGTGAAATAAACAATTGCCTTAGTGAACAAACAATTGCATTAGCACACTTGTTAAACAAACAATATGATGTCAAAGCAGAGAGCGTTGTAAACATTCCCCACTACGCACTACTGATATCAGTTATATTTAGATTCAAATATAAATAGATTTTAAAAATTAGATTTTTTATCAATTAAATTTTATTGACCATTGAATATCCCAAGAAACGTAAAGTTGACAGAGTTTTGAGCATTTAACAAAGATTGGATACCGAAGTATTTTTTGTAATAATCCGGCCCACCGAGGACTTCATTTTAGTCGTTGATTTCCCCACACCTGGCCCGCCGACTAGAGAAGTTGCCCACCCCTGGTTTAGTCGGTCAACCGGTCGTTAGCGTCGCTGTCATCTTTGGGTTATCTTATTTATGCTTAATTCCTATATTAGTTTTGAACAAAGTGATAAAACGGATTATTAGAGTAGACTTACCGGTACGCGGTACCTACTGGCTACTGCTACTACACATGCCCTACGCTACAGCCCTGTGCTATGAGGGGCCCATAACTGCAAGACACTCATTTTTTGGGACAAAGTAGGTCTTTTTGTCATTTCTATCATTAATTGACTAGCGGGCCATGTTTGAACGAGAATTAAAGTATCTTCCCCCCATACAAACTTTTTCAAACTCGCTTTATAAACACTTTATTATATGTACTACTACTGGTCTTTTGTAAACGTGGGGACCGTAATTGAAAGACACTCATTTTTTGGGGCAAAATAGGTCTTTTTGCCATTCCTATCAAACATTAATTATCGGGCCATGTTTGGTTCATTATAAAAATATTTTCCCCCCATACAAACTTTTTCAAACTCGCTGTATTAACACTTTAATATATGTACTACTACTGGTCTTTTGTAAATGTGGGGCCCGTAATTGCAAGACACTCATTTTTGGAGCAAAAGAGGTCTTTTTGCCATTTCTATCATAAATTGACAAGCGGTTCATGTTTAAACGAGAATAAAAATATCTTCCCCCCATACAAACTTTTTGAAACTAATTGTATTAACACTTTATTAAATGTACCACTGCTGTTTATGTATAAATGGAGAGGACATGACTGTAAGACACATCTTTTTGGGGCAAAATAGGTCTTTTTACCAATTTTAATAAACATTGACGACTGGGACAGGTTTAAACGATAATGGGTATCTCTTCCACTTATACAATCTTTGTTAAACTCGTTGTGTTTACTTTATTTCCTATTATAAGCACTTATACTTATCTTTCTTATACTAAGCGGATTTATTTGTGAGACGCTTATAATTTGGGGAGAACTGTTGTTTTTTTGGCAATAATTCACAGTTTTTATGATTAATCTGGCAACGCATAAAGCATCAGATGATTTTGCATCGATGCCTTTTCCGTAAACTCTCGCATCGCTCAATTGAAATCTGAGTTCTGGCAACGGGGATCGGCGAGTTCAAAAACGAGAGAGATGTCTGCTGAGAGATGTCTGCTAGGGTAACTTTGGTCTATGGCTGTATGGTCTTACTGTCTTATGCCATCGGATGGTAGGACAGAAATAGTGATAACCTTAATACTCGTTTACTCCATTCAGCCATGAAATAGACTAGCTGGGTAGTTAATTATGAAATTATAGCCGACCATCTGACCCAAAGTGACTATAAACTGTTATTGTCACTTTGATCTGACCACGGTTCAGACGTTCAGTTAATACATTTGAGTATGCTTGTGTGCAGCTACAGACAGATAGATACCGGTTAGGTACCACACTGTGTAATTGCAGAATTGTCCTATCACCGAAGCTCTAATTGTGAATTGTCAAATCTTTTTTTCTAAAGTCAGCAAGTTAACTAGGCTAGTCTGGTGATTTTTCCAGGCATGTTTTATCAGTTCTATTTTCTTCTTTATTAACATCACAATAACACATCAGATAATGGACAACCAGAATGATATTGGTTCAAGCAGTACACATTCGGATACACAATCGACACACTTGTTAATGCATTCGGACAATACATCAAGTACAGCGGAAATACATTATAGTCCCGAAGACGTATCATACACCAGTGAAACAGTTAGAAATTCTCTTCATGTCCCTGATGAAAATCATTCTGGTCCAGGTAAAATACTATAAATTAACATTGTTGTATCATTTTGAATTGTTCTCTGTATCAGTACTGCAGTACATCATTTCTGTACATTTAGTGCATTTTTAATAGAAGTAGGCATATATATGCATCGAATCAACTGAATGGTAGCGTGCTATAAGTGTTGGGTCACCTGAAACAAATGATGCATCCCAAAACAAATAACTGGCTAACTAATCTCATATCCAACATGGACTGGTAATCGGACGAGTGTCCGTAGTTTGCCATATGGTCAGCCTGTCTTACCCCCTTTCCCCTCCTCCAAGATAAATAGGTAAAACTTGTTTACTATTCGCATATCTGACATTGAGTGATAATTGGACGAGAGACCGTGGTATGTGATATCTTTCAGTTATCTTATCGCCTTTTCTCTCCTGTAATATTCTTTCAACAATTTTGCTTGATTTTTTTTATTATTTATCAATGTTCTTATCATCCACTTATAGCTTATCAAAATGGATTTAACATACCCAAATAGTTTTATTTGTTCAATTCTATGATTATACATCATACACGGTAGTTATTTGCTCAATTAAACAATTATGTTTCTGCTGGAGACCAATTGACTATGTCATTATTATATTAGCAATATTAGTTTTGGTATTCAATCAACAATATTCAGTGATGATGTTAGTGATATTTCAGAATCCTCCATATTGAAACAAAATAACCCTGCTCCAGACTAGTGTTAAGGAATAAAATTATTTTTGGATTCACCAACTTATGGTCCTGATCCGGGCGTCTCACTTCTCTAATTATAATGCACATTTTTGAAATATTCTTGACTGCAGGCCTAAACTAACATAGGCATACTCTTGAACTTATTGATATGCAAATGCTTGGAACAGACTTACAATTAAAAAATTGGTTTTATGTTAAATTTTAAGATCATCAATCCCTGAATGAATTTGAAGAGATTGAACGCTTGATTAAGGAAAATACTGCTGTGGACACTGAGGATGAGGAAAATAGTGCTGAAGAAGAACAAGGAAAACAACATTCACATGGTAAAATATTCATTCCTCCAGATTTTTCGATAGTCACATTGGATCCACTTCATCTTTTGAATATATAATTTACTGATACATACGGAAAACAATAAAGTTTCAATCAAGTAAGAGAAACTCTAGACTTTGGTACAACTTCTGTGGAAAATGGAATATTACCATTAGTATATCCTATATTTCATAAACATTGTGTGTACGCTTGGTTTATAGGCTATTACAAAAACCAAGTGTATGTAAGTTCCATGTCTCTTCTTTATTACAGAGGAAAATCTGTAGATGTCTCGTCCAATAGTACTCAAATATTAATGAGTTGCGGACCCATTAATTTTAATAATTTATGATGTTAGATAAATATACTTTAATACATTTAATACAAGTGTAAAATAGTTTATTAATATTTTACTGCTCTCAAGATTTGTTGAGAATGTACTTGAGTGATATACAACAATATTTATATCAATTTTTAAAATGTTTGTATCTCTCTTCATTATTCAGCTGTGCTTGACTGGTAAATATTTTAAATTGCTTAAAATAACTTTTTTCAGATTTATATGGAGATTCAGAATTCCATCCTGATACAGGGTATCAAACTGTTGAAGGTAATATAATGCTCCTTTTGTATTTTGCAATTTTGTTGCAAAGTAATTTTACAATACTATTTATTTGTGTTGCAGGATTTGAATACCCACAGTCTCCAATGCCAACCAACTCTCCACGATTACATCACAGCAGGGCTGAGGTATGATTATCGTTAGTTATATTGATTAAAAAGGGAGTATTGTCAAGAACTGGATATTATTAATTGTGTCTTATTTTACATCCTATTACAACAATGTGATTGATTTTATTCTAGGATAGATGGAACTTTCAATATTTTTCACAATACTACTCGATTATAAAAAGGAATGAAATCATTTTCAGAGTCCTGCTGTTTCTGAAGAATGGCCTAGTAGAAGAAGCTCTCGATCAGCAGCTTCAAATCGTGCTGCGAATTCTTCTCTGGAAAAATCTGTCACAGATTTAGATGTTACGCTAGATAGATTTCTTACACAACCTGAAGAGGAGAATGTTTCTGATGATGAAAAGTGAGACTGAAATGATTTTAAACTTTAAGAATAAATCGATATTTAGGAAGTAATTCGTAGGTTGAAAGGGTCGAAAATCCCTTTAATTCAGATTAATTACAGTATATGACACTACATGATGAAGCAACATTATTGTGTATATCCATGAGAAGACTGGAATTTGATAATCCTGAAATCTCAACAAGTTCTTTATTACTTTAATTTTCCAGTGTTTTTGGACACATGCTTATTAAATAGTCCATATTTCGATTTTTATCCCAAATTTTCTTCATTGCAACTGAATTTTGAAGGTATGTTTATGAAAATGCATACTAATATGCATCCATTTTATTATTAGGATTTGAGCTTGCCAAGAAATAATTGGAATGATTGTATTTCACTGCAAAACTATATAAGATGTTATAATTGAATGCATAATTCTTTAATAATTTAAGTTCTATTCATATTATTCTTGTAGTGCTCTCCATGCGAAATAGCTTCTATAGTATTTTGCTTTTTCCAACATTGTTTTATATTAAATCTGATGTGATAGCCGCTCAATACTCAAGAAAAACAAAAAAATAGTCATGTTTCAGCTTATGAATATACTGGTATGGGCAATATGAAAAATGGTTCATATAAATGTCATTCAACGTATGAAATTAAATCATTGATGACAGCCAAATATCATCATATTTTCAATACCCTTAAAATATTCCCGATATTCAAAACCTGTAATCAATAAAGGTCCTAAACCAAATTAGTAGGTTTAAGGAAGGTATGCTTTATTCATGCTGCTCCACCCTAGTAATGATAACCCTCTATCTAGGCTAGTCGCTACATTTGGAACTACAGAAAATTTGGAGGATTTATTAGAGCGTCAGCTTAAAGATATGGAAGATGAAGAAAATGAAAATTCTGAAAATGAACAAACTCAGACTAGAACAAGTGAGTGATTAATTATTCTACAATTACTCATTCTACAATTACTCATTTTTATTGCTCATTGAAAAATAAAATTGTATGAATTTTGTACTGGCTCAAATTGGTTGTGATGGTGCTGTATTAAATCTACTTTATTTTGCTTATACACCCTTTTCCACTTCACTGATAGGTAAGTAGCCAGTAGCCACTACTTTTGGCAACCTGTTCTGCTAGCTTAGTTAACACTCTATCCACTAGGACTTCTTAATTTTTATTAATATTGTGTAACTACAATTCATGTCGAAGATTACTGTGAAGATAGTAATTTTGGTGGTCTAACTTTTTACAATAATATATTCTTCCATTGTGCAGTCTTTTTGTCAAGATTCAGGATGTCATAAATTCTTTATTCATTTTACAGCAGATTTTCAGCCAAATGTATGTCTATTATTTTTAATAAATAATTTTATAATCTGAAATATTTTTTTCATTATGTAGCCTACTCTGTTTTTCGAGATCAGGTGTTTGCATATCTCATGTTACAGTTTTATAGCAGATTGTCATCCAGTTTTATGTTCATTATCTTTTAATACAGCGATTTTATACAAATATTGGATTGTGAAGTTTTGGTCTCAATGCTTTGTCCCTGATGTAATGAAAGGCTTTGTAAAAAGTTATAATCAAATGGGTTTATTTATAACGTACTTTGCTACTTGTTTTCAGAACCTCCCACTCTGGCAAGCTCATCAAGAGACAATATCAAGTAAGTTGTTCTTGAAACATTCTTTTTTGTTCTACACTGCCAAATATGATGCTGATGATTGATGAATAATCGAGACTATACATATGTACTTTATACTTGGCAAGTAGCTATAATAATAAAACAAATTCTCTATGGCATTTTTTTCAAAATGTTAAATTATACTTTATAAGTTTCTGAAATTATCCAGATGTAAAGATTTTTTCTCCATGCATAATAAATGAGCATGGTTCATTGATAAAAATATAAATTGTGGTAGAGATTATCTCTGTATCATGATTGGCGAAGTTATCCATCCTTTCTCTAAATAGCAGCATTTAGTTTTTTGACAAAGAATTCAATGAACTAATTTATACATTTCAAAAAAATATTTGCTTTTTCAGAATAAAAAATATATGTTTTTATCTGCCATAAAATAAAGTTTACATCTAAGTGGACATTTAATAATGTATTGATATGACTTAACCAACTGGTATTATAGTATAATGCTAGGTAATATAATGCCACCTATTGTTCCTCAAACAATTTTTCATTCTTTGTTTTTTTAAACCCTTATTTACCTTCATGCTTGCTTGTTCTCATTGTTGTAGGCTATGTAAGTATGTAAGGTTTTCATGATGGTGATTGGCAATATACCTAATTTATATTATTTATGTATTATATGGGATGTTCATAAAGTCCTGTATTAAATTAGGTTAAAGAATTATAATGTGTTTCATGCAACTAATGGTGAGAATCTAAAAGTGTAATAAATGAAGTGAAAAAAGGCACTGATTAAAAAAATAACTGGTTAAGATATAGCACTACTGAGGACTGACTTCATAATAATAACAATAACAATAACAAAGTTTTTGGAACAGGACTTTATGAACAGTGAACACACTGAATGAAGCTGGCCATGTCATTTTTTTTGAATAATACATTTAATTCATAGTGAAATAATGCTTATTTCAAATCATCTTTCTGAATCTTTGTAAGAAATTAACCTTGCTTTAATAGCAGTATTGTAAAACTTGAAAAAGATATCTTGCTGCACTCGATTCAAATATCATTTTCAAAGTTCTATAATTTATATTTAAACAGCAAACAATCCAATTCAAGAACCGAAACGAAGCCTCGTCAACCAATTCGACCGCCTAGATTTCGAAGAGCTGTTGACAACAGAACCACAAGATCACCTGCTGCGAATCGAGTTAAAAAAGCTCATCAGAGGTCCAGAGTGAAGTACGTAATATTTGCTAATTATAGTCTGGGGTAGATGGAATTGATACGATAGCTTATGTGTAAAAAGTTAGCTGAAAAATTGGTAAAATAATATCAGCAGGTAAATCCTTCGGCCAAAACTGGGTATTTATTATCGGTATTCCAAATACAATTTAATATAATATTGTCGAGTATGATATGTAAATATATATTCTGAACTGGGTCATTCTCAACAGAGAAATTTACACAACAATTAAGAACTCGTAGAATTTTTAAATTGGATAATACAGAATGTTTGAGATAAACAATATTTCTTTACGGTGTGAAAAGTGAAACTAAGTTTTTGTCACCTAAATGAATATTTGGTACTCCCGTAGTGTGTACCAGGTTGGGGTTAGGCCATACTTTTATTCTGATTTTCCTTATTACATATCGATCTTTAGATCGGTCAGTATGTTTGTCTGTTAGATGCACGCGATATCTCACGAAGGCGTGATTGAATCTGCTCCAAATTTTGCATGTGCATTCATCATATCCCGGACCAGAAGCCTATCCATTTTGGATGAATTATGTCGTATAATTAGCGAGTTAATAATTAATAAGTGATAGGACACAACGTGTCACTATGGAGTAAGAGCACTGTTTTGGGAGATCCCCTAACTTTCGATCGATAAGTCTTCGGTCCCTGGCCGATATTCTCGTTTTAGTTTTATTATGAGTTCGGGGACTGTCTGTATTAGCCAATTGAATATACCCTCTGCCTATAGGTTTCAGTCCCTTTACTATTGGAAATTCTAAATTATTCTTGAAGTCAAAAATTAACCATATCGAATATATCCCATTTTGATCATATTTGAATATTCTGCACTTCAGATAATTATATTTATATAACGTATTAAAATATTGGAAATTGTTATCAAAGTTGTAATATTTTGATTTTTGGTTGCAATTTTCTTTGACACATACCGGTATACATTATCAAATAAAACAATTGCGATTGTAAATCAATAAAGGATTCTAATGAAATCGAAAGGGATATTTGTGATATTGATCCCCAGGCCTTTACTTTGTGACATATTATATTTGTTAAACACTTTTCAATTTTTCATCATACTTATTCTATTATGTTTCAAGAGTTTTAAAATACACTGTTATTGCTTGATTATATATTAAAGCACTCATCATCTTCATTAATTTTGCTCCTATTCCAATACATAATGATGGCATAAGTGGCACTTTCGTAGTTTAAAAGTCACTCAATACTCAGTCAATAGCATACATTTTGAGATTGTTGTTTTATAGCCGATGAGTACTCTTACTCATTTTATTTGCTATGGCGATATGTAAGTTAATGTGGCCCTTTGGCTGTGATGCTAATTCAAGTGGAAAATTTTTATGTTCTGAAAATGACAATTGCCAATGTTCTTACTTCTAATAATTTAATTGAGTATTTGAGTAAATATAAAACTTGTGATCAACTAGATTAGAATAATTAAAATTATTGTTTTTTTTTTTGGTAATTTGAAAGATATTGATATTTACCGCTATCTTCCAAACCAACTTGCTCCAACTCCCCTGTCGTGGTTTTAATAAACTGGTAACTTTGTTTTCAGGAGTTCATTAGCTCGCTCTCCATCTTTCCCAGAAAGTAGTGATGGTGACTTGAGTGTGAGATCTGATGTTTCAAGAACTGAACTGAGACAACGATTAAGACGAGAACATAAGGATAAGAAGAAGGAGAAGGAAGTTTCTACACAGTTACAGGTAATGTGAGAAAGTTGTTATTTAGAACATAATGTTTCTGCTGTTATGTGACATTATTTTTTATTTATACAACGCTAATTCTTTCTTTCACTTTAAACAAGGTTCTATACAGTCAGCCACTGATATCTATCGATATGTCAGGTGCCACTAATATTTGAATATTTCAAATTAATAATCTCGTAACTAAACAGTATTAATTGGAGTTGTAAATAACTGAGAAATTATGGTTGAAATTTGAAATTAACAATTGAAATTTTTTTAAGACCGATTATGATGAGCTTTTGACGAGATATGCAGAGGCAGAAAATGTAATTGATCAGCTCAGAATCGGAGCCAAGGTAAGACGATAGACTTTTTAATAAGTTTCAACCACTGGGCCAACACTGTGCACTAGTGTGCAGTTATGATTGTGGTTTCACTAGATTTCCTCATTGTAGTTATTTGGGATTATAGGTTCTTCATGATGAGCAGGTGTCATATTTTGCCCAAATAAACGTACCTAAATAATATATGGAATTTCGTAAAGTGGAATTCTTTAATTTTAGATTTCTAATCATTAACTTTTATTATCTGCAACTTTTATTCATATTCCATTCATTTTCATCAAAATGTGAGGTACGCATGGACATGCGTCAGTTCAGTCCTTCATCAAGGGAATTTCATTACAAACAACTTAGTTCTCCACACCAAGTACATGTAGTTGTTATGTACTATGTGTAGTAGTATTCAAATCATTCATTCAAACAGAATAACATAGAACTTCGTTCTTTATTCTTCTATATAAAATCAAACTTTATATGCTTTGTCTTTTTCTTTGATTTTTTCTTCAAATACAACAATCAAGCGGTTTTTCTTATTTAAATTTAAAGATCGAGGTAGAAGTTTAATGTGTTGAAATTTCATTCTTTTAATGCAGATTTTTTATTTCAAAGTTTCTTAGCATTAGTTCCAAATATCTGATCTAGGTTGGAAAGATTATTTATAATTTTTATAATTAAACAATTAAAATTATTGGTTTCCATATTAAAAACAGTTTCCATATTAAAAACATGATTTTTAGTTTGATTGAAGTTTTTATCTCATTTGGTCTATGCCGAAGTCATGCTTTTCAAATGTTCAAGATTATACTATGATTACAAATAAATTTTGAAAAAAAAAAAATTAAATATTTGTATAAATTTGTAATCAACCACTAAGATGATATTCTGATAATATTTGAGCAGTAGTACAGTACTTATTTTAAGAAAAAAAATCACTATTGTAACTACGGTTAGTAGGCCTATATATATATCAAGAGGAATGATTTTTATAAATTTGAATTGAATCACCAATTGAATTTATCTTATTAAAATGCCAAATTTGAACTTTTCAAATATTTAATATAAACCATGTATTGTGTGTTTTAGAAATAGCTGGAATGACAGTATTGTCATCGCTTCGTCGATTATCTTTTGTTTGTCTAGAAGTATTTGTTTACTGTTGTAGTTTACACTCCGCTCGCTTTTATTGTCGTAGTTCAGATACCTATTATAGTTTCCTTTCAACTTAGCTATATGGAAAAATTCAATGTTCTTTTATCGCTTCGACGATATGACCCTACCGTCGTAATATTGTTTGCTTTGAGTAAGGCTTTTAAAGCTTACAAATTTGAAAAGAATGGTCTGATATGGCTTAACAAATTTTTAAGCCATTGAGACATAAATTTTTCAAACCAAAATTTTTTATGCATGGAATAAAAGTAATGATAGATTAAAATCAAATACCATTTTGGAAAAAAAATGTTTTCAAACTGGTGATCTCTGATTATTATGATATATTTTATACGGCTGAGCCTAAGCCATGTAGGCTATATACCCTTCAAGCATGACATATATATGGGTAATTCTTGGAAAATATCAAATTCTGGCTTTTTAACCGAAAAGTTAGAATGTTTCTTTTGAAGAAATCATGGTGATTTCAGGAAATAATAGGTTATACTTAAACAACAAAGAGTCGTTTTTATGGTAGCAATTTTTATATTCACATGTTCATCTTCGATTGTATTATATGTTTATTAATACAATCTTCTTCTAATATCAATGGAATATTGGAATATAATTTATTATTAGTAATTTTGACACTGGAATATAATTTTTTATACTTTTATGTAATTTAGGTCCAATTATTCGACTGTGCATCAAATTCACGATATATGCTAAATTTTGTGTGTGTTTGAAGTATATCTATAGTTTCAAAGATTAATTGTTCAAATTTATACCGGTATGATAAATGTTTATCAATTTTGTGTTTTTCAGTCCACTCCTATTGAGAATTCAGAGTTTAAGTTGAGATTTCTCCTCAATATGTGTTACTTTTCAGATTGATTTATTTGCGAGCATACCAACTGGTGGGTCAGGAGAAGGATTCAATCAAGTCAATTCAAATCCACATCAAAATCCTGCACAAAATGTATCAGATGTAAGTTTTACAGAAGAAAAATCTTCAATTTTATTTTACTCTCGGTTATAACAATGCATGATTATTGTCTTAGACATTGTTTGAATCACATAGTTAACCTGAAACTGAAAGTTAATTAGGTATTGAGCTGTCACATTAGCAAGTGAATGTCTTAATGAAGATAATTTTTTGATTGATCTGCATTTTTGTACAATTTATGTTAATACCTCAATGTCTTTTAATAAAGCAGGGGTTGACAATGACAACCTTTTTTCACACTGTAGAAGTGATTGGTTTTCATGAGCCGGCCTTAAAAAAACCACTGATATTCCCCAATGAAAATTTATTACAACTCATGAATGAGAAATTTTCTTGTCTGCAAATTGATCGGCAAAAAGCAACTACCGGTATATGTCATATTGATCATTTCTCAATTTTTAGTCTTTATGTACTTGTTACAAACGAAGCTCATTTGTCAGCAAATTTGGTATTGATTTAATAGATAATAATATATTTAATTTAGCTGTAAAATATATCACATATGCAAAAAGGGCGAAGTACATTCATTCATTCTTTATTTTAGATCCATGGATCTCAGAGATCTTCTCCAAGACAGAAAAAGATATCGTCTGTTGCTTCTGGTAGTTCACATGCATTTGATAGCCTCATTGAAAGTAGTTTAAAACTACCTTCCGCAGCAAGTTCCGAATTTTTAAGAGTCGCATTAGAACATCAAGCTAATGATTTAAAGGTAAAGATCATTGTTGAATGCTTTTTAATAACATAATTGTCTAGTTGGTACCTGTTTTTATGGAAAATCTAACTAGACCGAAGAGTATTTTCAAATTCCTTTTCACAACCATAGGAGACATTCTTTACTTTTTTGGCCAATATAATCAATCATTTTGAATGTATGTTCGTTTGTGCATATTTCTCTGTAGAACAAGCCTACCATCCTATTTCACCCTATTATATTTTATATTTTTAGAATATATTGAGAATAGTACATTATCCATTCCTGGGTATTAGTTTAGTAGTGTAGTCATTCATGATGCCATTCCTAGAATTTAATGTACATGTGCTAGGCAGAAATGAGCAAATATCTCATAATGGCCACATTCTATTCATGCCTCCTATTTTCTTAGCGGTAATGTTAATGACATGTCTGGTTAATTTGTGCAATTTTCAAACACAACTCTTGACAAGTTACACTGACGGGTCGATACTATGTTTTTGGATTCAAATTTTTGTTTGTCATATGGTGTTCTACCCAATTTATTACACTGCGGGATAGTTGAACATGAAATTTTTAACTGTGCTGCTTATGCAGTCAGGTCCAGAAGATTAACTACTAAATCAGTGACTCTAACTTTTTCCGATACAATTTGTGTTGGCTTATTCTTGATCTCTTTATTCAGCCCTCGCTACTCACTAATCACTTTGCGTTATTTATCCAATGCTTAGCTCTAATGTTACAAACAACAATCACCTTGGCTTTTGCACAGCTTAAATACTTCGTAATCTGTCTGTACAAAATTCGTCTCTGTGGAGGAATTCCTCCGCCATTCAGAATCACTGCTCAAGGTCATCTCACCTTTCTCATTAAGGAACAAATGGAATCATTTAAAACGTTACTCGATGGTGGTCATGTATCGGACACTGAAAAAAGACAAGTTCTAAGAGATCTTGAAGAAGCTCTTAGGAGTTTAGAAAGAGACTACATGACGGCTGGAAATGACCATGAAGCTGAAAAACTTCGTACTATGTACTCGACTGGAGGACAACCAAATCAATCTGATGAATTTGATCCGAATCATAAAATTGAGGGAGAAATTTTTAAGTGAGCATTTTGTTATGGGTTTCGTAGCGTTAGAACTATTCACAAGCATTTTTAAACAAACAAAAAAAATTTGATATATATATTGATATATTTAATTTAGCTGTAAAATATATCACATATATGCAAAAATATCAATTCAGCTTGTACTTAAGGAGATAAGTAGTTTTTTTCCACTTGCACAATCTCTTACCTTATTATTCTTTTGGTATTTTGTCTTGAAGCAGAAACCTTTGTGGTAATGCCACCATATGAAAGATATTTAACTCTTATAGATTGAACTTTTATGAAATTGAACATTGTTCTGGAATAAATCAAATCGTAGGACCAAGCTCATATCAGGCCTTCCCATACCCAGTTATTACGGAGTGACATATATCGACTGTTTATTGCACTTCAATTGAAGTTGTTTAGTTGAAATTGAAACCACTCCAAATTTTCATACTTTTTAACTTTATTTCATTACTCTATGGCGCCACCACTATCTGAAACATGAGATATTGTCACATAAATGGTATTTTTGTAAAATTATTTGTCCAAGCTATCTATCCTTCGATTTTATTTACCTATTGTCTATTTATTGTTTGCAGGAGTGGCCAATTTGATTGTTTACATATTCATGAAAATAAAATTATATGCTACATCAAATTTGGGCAATAGATAAATCGAGCATCATCAATTTGATTTATCACATGTTGATGCTTGACAGCATTGTGTTTTCTCATAATTTTAAAACTGAAAAAAATTATAACAGGTTGGGCAGAATGTTTGAAGGAATAAAAGATGATGTTTATGCCACGACTCATTCACAGACCCCACTATCAAGCAGAAAATCGTTTGTGTCAGGTTCGTAATATTTCAGTACTTTTTCTTTGCTGTATTTGAAACTTAAGCTACTTACAATTAAGATTTCTGTATTTATTTCGGAGAGAGGAAAGATGATAATATAACTTAATCTCATGGTGAAATATGGCCTTTCGTCAAATTACCAGTCGATGTTTGGTATGGGATAGTTAGTCTGATATTTGTTTGAGATGCATGTATGATGGTGAGGGAAGGGTTATGTAAACCACGTTTGACAACGAGGGATCCAGCAATCAACCTCGTACATAGTTCTAACTTGCAGACCCGCGTTGGGTAATCAGAGGGGTGATGGCAATCGTGTTCTTAATGCTTAGCGTGGTGCACCAATCGCTGCTATGACTTTGCTTTCTACAGTGATGCTGCTTCTTATATGTGCAATACAATACAAGTTTTTTTTAAACTGTTTAAACTTACATAGGTTATATTTATTTAACAGAAGAAATAAATTCATCATCAGAGTCTAGTATTGATTTGGATGCTGGATTTAATGAACAATTGAGAAGGTAAATATTGTTTTCATGCTAAATCCTTTTAAATGTTTGTGATTGTTAGTCCCCATTCAACTACTAGTAGAATAGTATATCTGGTTTTAATTCGCCTAAAGAGAAAAAAAAAAATTTTGTTTTGTTTCATTTATATTTACACTGCCAGGAAAATGCTTGACGGAACTGATTCTGGAAAACAAAAATTCTAAAAAAAATCAGAATGAGAATTTAGTACAGAAGAAATCTGGATTTGAGTTTGACAGCCCAGCGGTTCAAACGTTAGACTCAACTGTGGTGGCTTGTAGGTTACAGATTCGTTCAAATCTCATGCCCACCACCTCACTCAGTTTACAATAAAGTGTGAGACAATGCCGAACCAGGAAGATTTCAGTTCCTCCAAACTTTAGTAGCTTCTCAGCTATCATTTGATATCAATGACAACTTATACAGTGCCTTATTCAGAGTGGATAAGAATAAGCATCATATAAAAAACCTCTGCTTTTAAATGTGAAACCATCTTACCATGTTTGATTGAAAACTATATTTTAAATTTCAGATATAATAAGCAACCGCCTGCAGAGGATGAATATTCCCATACAACGGCATCAAGTAATATATTATCCAGCGATGATGACATTGATGGAGATAATTTATTGAAATATCGAAGGAATAACGATGATGATGACGAAGATACCATAAGTGATATATCAAAATCAACTGTGAAAGACTCCGACATGCCTGAACGGTATTTATATCTTCTTTGTATGTATGAAATAGGGTGTCTATTGATAATTCAAAATATTCATCATTTGATGAAAAGAAGCTATTTTTTTTAAAAAGACCCAAGATCTCATTGCCTACCAAAGCGGTTCCTGAAGGGGAAACCACTAGTGTGACTTGGCGATTTTCTAAGTCTGCCCTGATATATGATTTGATATTTTACATATTGTATTTATCATAATTGTGTTGTTCCTATTTTAAATGCTGTGTATAAGAATCAATGAGTTATTTTACCTTTCTATGTTGTTCCCTTTCTGTTACGTAGTGTTTGCTTCTATTGTTATGTGACTTTTACATAACAATAGAGGTATACACTACTTGCTGCAATTTTGTCAGCTGCAGTTTATTTATCCGCTGAACCGAGTATAGGCAACATGAGTGACTTAGTTTTATTTAAACGCAGCATTTTTCCTTGTGTGAGTGCGCCGTGAGTTTTTTCCCTGATAATTTGGCACTGTGCGAACAAAAAGTTTGGGAACTGCTGGCCTACCCAATTCTTTACACTGTAGGTGAGGCAGTGGGCAATGGGTTTGAACTGCTACTCTAACATGGTAAGATTCAACACTTCATCTGTTATATCGTTTCAGAAAGTGATTGTGTTGACTGTTGACTGTTGTGTATTATCTTGCCTTTAATTTTTATTTGTACTTCTTTTACAGATTTCTTCGACCACCGTCAGCCAATACCTCTGGTTCACCATCTCGCAGTAGAATAATTGAGACTTCTGATGAATTAAGGTTTGTTTCAAATATATCTAAATTGCATAAACACAACTAAAACCACAAAACCACAAAAGCAAGCTAACCAAGTATGACAATCTGTGAGTGAAACAGAGTATGAGCAGCTGCAAAAATTTCAATTGTTACATTGCATTGACGTCTTGCTGATTAGCTAATGATATGGAAATAAATAAGGTAGTCGATACTCGAGGAAAACATCCCATTTGCTGGAATTGAACGATTTAATTATTATTTTTTCATCTTTTCATCTTTTTTCATTTTTAAATGTTTCATCAAGAAGAATATTAAAATTAGTTAAAATTTGAAAATCAATTTTCATGCATATGTTCTAACATTGAAAGTGTAAAACTATGAACAAGTTTGTCATTGGATCTGTTGAGAAAAAAAAAATATATACATTTTATCAAAAGTGCCTTTTTCTCTTGGAATATGAAATAACTTTGAAAATATTTTTTCAGTCCTGTTCGCTCACAACAGCAATCGAATTCATCAAACTTTGGATCACCGCTAGGTAGACCGAGAAGTAGATTGCCAAGACCTGTGGGATCTCGTTCACATAGTACACCTGTTGTACCTAAGAAACGTTCTTCAAGTAAAGATGCTGAAGTTGATAGTGGTTTTCAAGGTTTGCTCGTAGAAGATTGGGTGGCAATAGTCGAACTGGAAAAGTCCAGTTTGTACTAGCAATAACAAAAGCATTACTTTTGAGTGGCTGTTTATCAATAGTGGTTACCAACCTTTTCAGTCTTGCCGAATATTTAGGTGGTTTGCCTGAAAGTCGTTAACTCTTCCAGTAAAATATTTTATATCAGTATTTATGTACAAGTGGCACAACTGAAACAGTGTCAAATAGCGCTTCGAACTTGAATAAACAATCTGAATAATATGTGAAAAAAATAAACCTTTCGTGAATACAAACAAGAACCTATATTAATTAGGATGCATCTAATTACTGCTCTATAATCTTGTTTGTAATTGTGATAAAATTATTAAAGAAAGGTAATTATTAAAATATCTTTGATCTAGCGTGTGTGATTTTCAATTGACTACTCCTTTCTTGCCTCTTGCTACATATTTCATAAGTGAGCAAATAAAAAAGAACTATCATCCTCATATTTATCATGCCTTCTCAAAGAGGGTTGGAATTTGCTGTAACTGCTGTAGAGACGTAGTCGGATTTATAAATCATAATATTAATGTCTAATTTTTCACATTTTACTCAGTTTACATTCAACTTTTTTGCAGCGTTTTTATGTGGTATAACATTATTCGAATATCAATATTATATGGATCTTTTATCGTTCAAAATGAAATCTTTTAACATTCCTACCCAAGTTTGGATTTGTTTTTAATTTTACTTGATATACATTTAGGTTCGGAAAGAAGTGCTCAGTCAAGCATTCCGTCGACGAAAGCACAACAACAGCAGCAACAAAAACCTCGAACAGAAACATTGCCTAATTATCCAAAATTTTCTCCGAAACAACAGCTTACCTCTACTCCTATAAATCAAACAAAGCCAGTAATTAAGCAAAGTCGTGGTGGAAATACTATTACAAAACCTCCTAAACCAACTACTTCCTCAAAATCTACTGCAGAAAAGAGGTATTATGATAATTTTATGACAGCCTTGTGAGTCGACGGGATAAAATATTTTTTGCATTTGACTTGGAAAGTTTTATTGAAAGCATGAACTCTTGACAGAGAATGATGTAATTGCTTTTTCACACGTAATCATTTCTTACAGGATTCAGACCCACTTAGACTGGGTGGACTAAGTTTTTTGCCACTTTCAAAGAGCCACTTTCAAAAAATATTCCTTCAAAGGGTCGCATTGAGAAAAGTACTTTTTTTAGAAGCCCATATCATATTTATCACCTTTGGTCAAAATTTAATATGAAAAATATATCAAATTAAAAATTTTCAAAGAATATATCAGATGACAAAGTAAAACATGTATGGTTCAGACAATTTAAAAGTTCAAATTTAAATTCAAATTTTGTTACGTAGTTGTAGTACTTTTCACAACTTTCTCCAGGAGCATTGAACCACACAAAACGCTTTGGCGAGCCGCATGCAGCCTGCGGGCAGTAGTTTGCCTATTCCTGCACTGAAGGGCACCTGGCAATATGATCATGTCCCTGTCACTTACACTGATAGAAACTTACCAATTGATATTTTTTGTTCAAGGTCACAACATACTGATTCTCCTTCAACCAGTCATGTGATTCCACCTAAACCTATCAGGATGGTAACAAGCCAGGTATGATAAATGATAGTCAATATATAACAACTTCTGTCTCAATTCAGAACTTACACGTTTTATTATATCTGGCTAAATTCGACTTCTTCTACTCAAAAAGGCGAAACATGAAAAATCGCTTTTAAAAATGAGGAAAACGCCTGTAACTTTTTATTGGCATATTTTGATGAATATCTCTTCAATTTAGGTAATTAGATCCCACAGGGTATTGTTTTTGTTGATATGGGTATTTCAAAATTTCATTTTTTGCCTTTTTGTCTTGATATCGATATTATCTTTATTGATAATTTGCTTGACCTGGAACTGCAGGCTTTTACCAAAGTAAATTCTATCCATATTGAGATCTTTTTATTCTAAATAATTCTGCACTGATAATAGACTGATTGAAGAAAATTTTTTTCTCATAATTAGCAGGACAACGGCAACAAAGCAACTCATCTAAAAGAGCATCCTCTTACCACACAAAATCAACCAGGTTTTCATCATCAGCCTAATGGACCTCACGATATGTTCTCTCCCCATAAACCTATCTATGTAGGTACAAGCGGAAGTGTGATAGCACCTACTGAACGTGGTAGCATTGAATCGGAGTTTGAATGGGTGCCAAGGGAGAAATCGAGGCCTAGCAGTAGAAGGTTTGTACCTTTTTTCAATAGAGTGTAGAAAACAAAGTATTATAAAACATGGGGTAAGATGTAATAAACTGTGAAGATTTTGGTTTTCCAAAAAATATTGTACCCTTCTGAAATTAAGCTGTTGATTTTTAGCACATATAGATTATAGGTAAGAGTTGAATACATTGATACATGCTCTTTGAGCTGGTATCTAATCATAGTTTATAACAATGTTCACCAAAGTATTTTAATAAAAGTTACAGGAGTTTATTATCAAGAATATACATTTTTGTCATTTTCTGAAAACAGCTTTCTCAAGTTTCATTCTCAAGTCCTTCTACATAGGTGGAAGAGAAATATCAAATTCTATACAAAATTCTAATTGTCCAATTTGAAAATAGTTCAATCAAGTAAGAACTAATCTTGCCTCGATAAATCTTGAATTTCACTGTTTATTTTTTAGATCCATAACAAGCAGTAAAGACAGTACATTGGGTTTATTACGAGGAGAAATTGCCAAACTCAGGCAGGAAATTGCTGAGAGTAGAATGCCTCAACCATCTTTCCATCATCCTTCATCAAAACTTCACTCAAAATCTGAAATCAGTGAATCTGAGTATTCTAGTCCCTTGAGGCGACGTGGAAGTGACACCAAGGTGGGTTTTTTCATTTATTAAAGATCTGAAAGTATTTGGGCTCAAATATTGCTGGATTCAATCCTTTGTTCATTCATGTTATTATGCGTGTGTGTGGTCATGATTCAAATACATGTGGAATGGTTTCCATGCCAACAATTCAAGTATCCAAAAGCTACTTTAAATTGAACCTTATTCATGTATGTTGTTGATTGTATTAATAAAATTCGAAATCATATTAAACTAATTAATTATATTGCTGATGACTTCAATAGGCGTTTTCTATGATGCGGAACGTAGTTTAGTGAGGACCTAAACACAATGTGTTCGTAAAGTCCATTACAATTATGATTTTGTAATGGAGTCAGTTATCAATATATTTTAACCAGGTTTGTAATATTTTAACCTGTATTTATTGGAATGCACTCGTGGGGGCCCATAAATTCCCTTCACAATTTGAAAAATTTAAAGTCTTTACGAACGCCCTATATAATCATATTTGATTTAGTGAGCATTATTGACCCGGCACCTAACTCAGATTCAATTGTTAGCAGAACAATGAAAAACATTGTTTGAACAACATTCATTGTATCGAAGTGTTTTGTTTGACGCTCCTCTCCTTGAGTGTATAAACTATAACTACTGTATAATATTATCTCTCTATTCATTTATTGGATTATCCTATGCTATATCTGAGAAGTGTAGTCAGATTGATAAGGGCAATTATAGGAATATAAATTGTATGCAGAGAGAAATTAGAAAGGCTGCTAATGAATGCTATTATAATGCAAATTTTTTTACTTAACGAAAGGCAATCAAATAAATAGTGAGGGTACTAGGATGTTGTGTATTAAACTGCAGTTCTCCTTGTCTACCTCCTATTTCAAATCCGTATACTCTACCGAGATAGTATTTTGAAGTGATGAATAAGAAAAAAACATAGTCTGTCTCTGTGAAATAGAAAGAATTTTAGTGAGCTTTCATTAGATCATGGTCTACATTCTTCAGACCACTTCTTTTGTCTGAAAAAGTTAGAATAGAATCTAATGAAAGCTCACTTATATACTTGCTATTTTGTGCAAAGAGATTGTTCACCTTCATTATATAGTATTAAGTTTTTTTTGACTTTATCAAGGTATCAAGATATGTTGTACTGGCCTGATAGTTGTGAACTATTTTCTTTTTATTTAATTTTGCATTTTGCTTTATATCTGAGCTCAAAATTAGAATTGTTCCATTTATTGTAAATATATATTAGACTCATTTCCTGTTGTCTGTCAAGTCTTCATAATGCAAGTGCAACTATGTACAATACGGAATAAGGAAACTTTTTTGGCACTTCTATTTAATTTTCTTCTTTTAGTTTTTAAGTTTTCAAAATTTGGTTATATAACTCAATTTTAACTTCTAGGAACGTACAAAACGAATTTTCCCACAGAGAAATGGTAGTTTCAAGTCTCAAGCAGGGGATGACCGTGAGGAACTAAGAAGAGCTCGTGAAACAAGAAACGTCAAAAGTGGTGGGGACACACCAATCGACAGGCAGGCACAAAACACAGACACCTCCAACATGCCAACATCTGGACATTGGGCTTATATCAGTTCCTATCCTGGTCCCATGGTTCGCCCTCAAACTGCTTACTATTACCCTACTGTGGTACCAGCAACTCCTGTCGCACCTCGTATGGGTAGTGTCTATATCACCACACCACCCCCCATGTATACAGCTGCAGTTTCTTCACCTGCGAGAATTTATGTGCCTGCACCGTCACCTATCCATTATATGCATGAAACCATTCCGTATGAAAGTGTTAGGGGACGAAGTACCAGTAGAAGATCGTCAAGAAGAAGTTCTATTGTGGAACATGAATCTGATGAAAATGATCTTCCTCTGAGACGGTATGTGTATAATATTCATTAGTGTTCCGTTTAAATAGTAGCCTATATGAAATTTGCGTTGCACACAAACAATTAAACAAATAACAGTCAATTTACTTTAAATTAATGTACTCATCAAAAATGGCTCTTTGTGTGTAGACCTTTGCTCATGGCCCTCCCAGGACCTGCTACGTGGCTTCCTTGAGGTCAGGGATCCAGTTAAAAAAATCCTGGTTTAAGGGCATTGAAATTAAAATGATAGAAATCAACTACCAGATATATTCATTACACTAGAATTTGAACATTTTTTTATATCAGGAATTTGATAGTACTATATTATGCCATTCTGAAATTCTGTTTTGCTAGTAATCTAAAATTTCATTTCGACATCTATGCGAAAATAGTTTTTTTTTTTAAAATAGTTCGTTTGAATGACTTTAAATGTTTAATTTTGTTTTTTTAAACCAAATTCTTCGAACAGCTTTGTTTTGGGGAGAAAAAAATTGCTGCTCAATTCCTCGATTTATTTATGGATTTATCATTTGAATTTCAGCATATATAAATTCTCATTGTCTTGTACTGTTAATTGTTAAATATTTCATTATGTTTTTTCTCTTAAGAAGCCATCTTGTTTCTGTAAAGCGTTCTTCTTCCGTACCACCTCTACATCAAAGCTACCTTGATCCACAGCTCAGTCGATCTTTGCTTCGTGCTGAAAAAGCTTCAGATCTTGTCCGATCAAAATCAAGGGCGATGTACCGATCTTTACGAGATTCATTAAACAAATCAGAACAATATTAGATGACAAGTAGCTAGATCATGCTTGGACTATTAATAATTTACTATTTCCCATGCATGATACAGTGTTATTCATTTCTAAAGTATTATGTGCCAATGTCTCAATTATGTATTGATGAATAAATTTTCTAATTATATTTTTAAATTGAAGTTGAGTCAACATAACCTGCCTGGTTTAATAATTGTTCAATTGTAGCAAAATGGTAGATTCTAGTCACATGTATGATTAATATATACATATATTTTGAAGATAAACATTTTTTATTTGTGAAATTTGGGATAGAAGGTTACTTCCAACAACACTTGGATGCTAATTCTTCATCAAAATTTTTTTTTTTAAATTATTTCATTAGTGATTATAAATATAGCAACATTTTGTTTTTTAATTTTTAAAATATTTTATTTACGTTTTCTATACTTCCGATTATTTCTTGAAATTGTTTTAATTCGACCTTGTGTCAACATTTATATAGTTCAACAACACATCTTTTGTCTTCAAGTTTGTGCCTTTCACAACATCAAATTTTATCTCACTAAATCAGACATGAACCGTGGGTAAATCATGCCTGAAAAAAAATGGTCTAAGTCAGTGGTACCCAACCTTTTTTGCTTTTAAGACACCATTTAAGTACTTTCTAATGCCCTGAAAAGTGTTTCAAAAGGGGTTGCGCCCCTCAGGTTGGAAACCACTGGTCTAAGTGGTTCAGTTTGACTCCAAACTTCGAGAATACACAGTGCCTTATTTATCGATTTTCAACAACTTTCATACTATTACACAAATTTTATCGATTTGAACACTGAATAATCTCGTTTTTCATTGTGACAGTTATTATAATTCAACTGTGTCTGGCTCGTATTATACTCGTTATTACTGTGATTATGTGCAAAAGAGTGATGCTCAAATATTAGGTAATATGAACACAAAAGTCTAACCACTAATATAACCACCCCTGTTTCAGCAATATTATTCATGCCAAATGTTAAAGAATTGTAACGAATGTCATCTGATGGTGTGACCAGGAATTTACAAAATATATCAGGCCCAATATGACATAAAAATTTGAAAGAGTAATAGCCTTTTAGTGATTTCTTGCGTCTTTATATTTTCATAAGTTAAAATAGATTGGTCTATTAGTTTCGGAGAAAAGCAACTTTAACATAACAACAACAATGTAGCAAATGATCTATACTTCGTGGATCGAATTTTGGGATGAAGCTAATAAAAACTTTTAATAGTCACTGTTTGTTTTAATTTAGCAACATAGATAATACCAGAAAGAACTGTTCACAGGAACTCAAATGAATCAAAAAACCTCAAATTTATATATTATTTAGTGGTGATGTAGTAGATTCTTATGTCTGACATTATGCATGGAATAAATTTATGGAATAGATATTCGCAACTTTAAATGTATTAAATACTTTGTCAAATTTTACATTATAAATACTTGGGGACTGTTATAAAGAGAATAATGAATTACAAGTAAGCCTCAATGTAAAGCTGGAAAGATTCTATTTGGGTATTAGATATATTGGATTACCATAGATATCTCATTAAAATTGTTTTAAATTATCTCCGATTGTTCTGTTGATAAAAGAATTAATTATACAGTCAACCAATTGTTCATATGTTACTGTACATTCTTTCAAATATTTTTGATCTGTTGAGCATTGTGTCTTCTACTATCTTGTACTATATTACAAAGACTGAGTGATGGTGGATTTTGTGCATTGTATTGAATTAGGACCAAGATATTGAAAATCTATTTTTATACTATTTGTTTTGTACAAACGATTTCTATCATGTTACTGTTTTTTTATGTTTGTTATTTTTTGTTTATATGTGTAGAATCTGAAAATATTATTATTCGAAAGATAAATGCATTGTACACACGGCGGTTTGCATATAAATATGTTAAAATGAAAGTTAAGTAATTGTGTTATTGAGAAACAATTTTATTACTTTCTATTATGAAATATATTTCCTCTTTATATTTGAATTGAGATGCAGCGTTTGTAAATTTAAATTATCTAAAAGTGATAATTTTGAATATCCAAATCGTTAAAAAAAAAATTTTTTCGAACATGAAACAACCGTTTGTTACTGTCTGATTTTTTAACTGTTATTAAAAAGTCTTCTCACAAATATTTAAATATTTTATACAAAATGCACATTAGATTATTTACTTTACACACTTATTGTTTAACAGTACCCTCTCGCCTCGTCTGAAATTTTGTATTTGAATTGTTGAATTAGTGTTGGTGTGTCATGTATTAGTTGTTCGCCTTTGCATGATATTTCCAACATACATTCGTTACTGTTATGTGTTACTGATGTTTTGTATCTTTGTACATGTTTTGTTATTATTTTTGTTGTGGCGAGACAACCAATAATACACAGAAACATTGAAATTTATTCGATTTTGTTTCCTGTATGTTAGTAATCAATAGGAACTCGGAAGTAAAGAATGTAGGGTTTTTGTTTTTGAAGTTGTGTATATCTCAAGATTCTGAAGTCGGTAAACTTAGGAAAAAGTCTTTCGCAGTTACATTATTTTGCAATAAAGTTGTGCTTACTGTTTTGGAATTATATTTATCGGTCCAAGAATATTATCGTGATATCCCTGTGAAAGGTTAGTAGATACTAAGTACATTTTGATATCAGTGGGGAAAGAACTCTTAGATCAAGAAAATTCGATTAAGTTCAAGTAAGTTTTGCCCGCCCCGCTTTCTTTAGGTTCTGTATCGCCTGTTCTCTATTAACAGTAAATTCGGGACAAAATGACTTAGCAGCAATTAGCAATGTATGCAACGATGTATTGCCACTTCCCATAATTTGAAGAACGGCAGTCCTTCAGTTCAAATTGTAAACTTATTTCTGATCATTATGAAATATTCTTTAGAACTGTGCGCCTAAGTGTAATCCTATAAATGGTAGATTCCATTTATGTATTCTTGGTAATTTGTTCCGCTAGTGACTAGCGACTAGTCCTTATTCTCAAGAGAGAATAATATCATTTGCGCTCGTTGAACGTTGACGATGGAATCCTAGTATCAAAACATGTTGTGCGGAGTCCCAGCAGATTTTAAACTTTTTCAAACCACCGAACACTTTTGCGGAACACCAAACGAAAGTTTTTCCGGCAACAATCCAATTAACTAATATTTTCGATCAGTTTTGGCATTGCAAAAAAACAACACTAATGGCTTTTACCGACTCGAGTTGGGAAACAGTGTAAAAAATTAAAGTTCAGTTCTACAAATAACAACAGTACAGACACAGTACAAATAAACGATTTTCATACACATGTCGCCAAACGCTGAAATATCAATGACAATTATCAAGATAGACTGCTAGTAGCAAGAAATAGTAATGCGATGTGATACCTTGAGCACAGATCCTATATTCTGGCAGGGAATTAGAAAAGACAAATCATCTTTCTTCTTCAACGGATCTCAGTTTAATACTAATTTGATATATTATGCGCTATGTATTATAAGTAACATAACATTGTGAAATTGCCCCGAATGGCATATTTTACTGGCTAACTACATTTCTTTTATAATGTTAATAAAACCCAAAATGAGATTCTGGAATTTCAGAAGTCACACTGTTGATGAATGATTTCGAATGCCTTGTTTATTGTGTTAACAGGGGTCGATATAAATAATCGATAATTTAACAATTACGTAACAATTGAAATTTGAGCGGCTAAAAATGGGCTCGGTTTTGTGTGCCATTTGTCAGTTTTTATTTATGTTTATAAAATTTGCTACAATAAAATACCCCTTTCGCTCGGTAAAATATTCTCATAAAATAATATGGCAATCAAGGAAAAAATTTGCGGAACAACAATTTGACGCGGAACACATGAAAGTTTTTTTTGGAACGCTGGTTGAAAATCTTCAAGGACAATGCGTAAGCATGCTATTGTTCTTATAAGCGGTAAAGACAATCTGCAATGAGAAACTCTAATGATAAGTACTCTGAATATTTATTGCATCACGAAATTGAAAGAAAAGAATGAATTTCAAAATATGCATTTTAATCAATTAAATGTATCACTTTTGAATTCACCTTGGATTTAATTGTTTTATATTGCTATGAAAAATTGCTATGTTTTAGTACATATTTATATTTTGCATTCATTTTCCCCAAAACATTTAGCATGGCAACAACAATTTTGTTAAATGAAAATCAGTAAAAGAATATATTTTGATTAAAAGTTGCAACTTCTATGACGAAATTAATACAGGCAAACAAAACAGTGTTACGGGGAAACTTGAAATATATTTTGCGCAGAATTCGGAAGATAATATATATATCTTATGTATTCGTTTACTTCAATTTTGCGCTCGATGACTCATTTGTTTGGAACATGCGTTCAAACGAAGCTGCCTAACACATAGTCATAACTCTAACTCAGTTTGATTGGACTAAGTCAAATGGAACACGGATGTATGCCTCGTCCTCCATGAACACAGACTCGCAAGAACCCGGCGACTCGTGTAAAGGACTGCATCGGTCGCTATTCGATTCTGGTGACATCCTTGATTCAGACAAAGTGAGACCATACATGCCATCGTAGAATGCCGAATCAGCGCTCTCTACACGAGTGTTCCTATTTGTCAATGAATTGACAATTTTGAAATTTCTGACTGGCGATATTTTTATCAAGGGCAATTGTTGCGGTGTTGAAAGTTCAGTATCATCCGATCCAGCGATGAACAGTTCCGTTGACGCAGCATTTTCAACATCGTTTTCGTAGTGACTCAAATTGTTGTTACTTGACTCTCTACTGGCTCTAATATTGTCATATTTTTCAGGGGGTTGCACGGCAATGACCAGTTTATCATTTTCATCTGTATTAGTTGCTATGACCTAAAACACGATGTTCAAAGCTTTTTATTAAGCAGCCACTTGAATATTCGAAAACACTGTTGAGTAAGTTTATTGAAAGATGATGACGGTTTACTACAACAACAATTCCGCCCCAATCAAGTTTTTATGGTGCCTTTCCTGTGAATTGATCAAATATTTTAAGATGGGAATATTTCATTTATATTCGCGGTAGAGAAAAGATGAGGTGAATGTGTGGGAAATGTCGTAACCGTCCAATGGCTATGTCAAGTTGCTTGTTGGACCCCCGAAAAGCGTTTTCATGACGCTTAGCACAATGCCAGGCGCCGATCCAGACAATCTGAGCACAAAACAATCCTTGACTAATAAAAACAACAGTACTTACTGTATTTCTGGGCAATGTCAAGTTCGGGTCCTGAAATGGATTCCGATAATGTTTTATGAAAAGCATTCTGAATCCAACGATCAGCAAAACAAGAACTATAACTCCGAAAAGAACTGCTATTGTCACCAGAGTCGGCAGCCTGCTGATATTCGTAAAAGCTGATTTAGAAATATTTATGTTGATTTTAAACTCTCAGGTATCGAATGCAAAATTTTGAACGTGATTGTGGAGTCGTATTTTCGTCGTCTCGAGTCATAAATGATTATTATCATTTTCCGTTAACACGATACAATATACAATTTTTTGAAATATCACAGTTTCAATTATATGCTTTGACAAATCCATTTTTGTTCCAGACATTTCCATGTGGTGATTAGTTATTACAGTACAGTATTTAAGTTAGATCTTACCCAAATTCTGCAGATAAATTTACATCATCTGTTGATGCTTCTGGTTTCTTTTTTTGGATGAGTTCTCGAATGCATTTCTGAAGAAAAAGACTTTCACTCAAAATTCTATTCAAAGATACGAGGGATATAATTTTCCACATTGGTCTCAGGGCAGGAGAAAGCCTGTAGGTTGTATATATATAGCATAAAACAGAGATGTCGAACCCAGTCGTTGCCGTAATACATACGAGATAATTACGATGACTGCGTTTTCAAATAGACGTCATGATCTCGGTATATTCAATTCTAGTTCTTGACCCATATTACTCGAGTTCATCGAATCTGCCAAATACCAGACTCTCCCCACCTCCATAGTGTGCACGGGAATCCATGATTCCGCACATGATTCCATAAAATCGAGTACGAGAAATCGTCTCAGTCGTGATATAAGTGTGGCATGTGTAATGCTCAATATTGCAAGTTTTCGAACAGGAGATTTGTTAAAAAGATGCAACAGCAGATTTCTCATTGATGCAAATTTTGATTACATATCTATGGCCAACAGTCTTTTTTCCACAATAAAAGTATAATTTTTAACTCATTCATGGAAAAAGTTTTGCCATCTCTGGCATATAATTATACCCCACGAGTTTTGAAGAGCTATTCAATGCGAGGTTTCTGTCGGCTCAATCCCAAATTTTATAACGGATTGACATTTGGTATATAATGTTCCCACAAAACTTCTTCAGATGGTACGGTTTGGTGACTATTTTTTTCTGCCTACACATATGAAATTGAAATTTACTAATTGATTGAATTATAATCTTACCTGACGCCACTGCCCTTCATATTTGTAATGGATATCAAAAAGATATCTTGCTTTAACGCAAATTGTAACATTCTGAGGAGCCGAGGTGATCCAGCTCACAATATTGTCCGACATTCCAGGTACGGTTGTAGTCTAATAAGAAAATAAAAATACTATATATAGACAGTGGTCACAGGTGACCTTGGTCTCATTTCCAAATTTTCTTGCCAAAAATGTTTACACCCGACGATAACGTCGTTATATAGTATTGAAAAACTAAGTCTTTACCGTGTATGTATATCCCTCTTCCAAGGAGTCGTTTCTAAATGCTTCAATTTCAAAATATGCAGAGTCATGCGCATTAAACAGAGGAAGAGGACTTTCTAAATACACTGTAATGTTTTTGCCATCTCGAGTTATATTCATTTCGGGAGGAGATATGACCATGTAACCTAAATTAAAATACAATAATATATATAAGTCGACGGTATAATATCATAATACATCTTCATGTTGTAGCCGATGTATATCACCTGATCTTTAGCGATTTCAATTACCGCTAACTTGAATAGATTTTAAAGATATATTTGAGTGTTAACAAGAACGGAGGTAACACAATTATGGACTATCGAGAGTTTTAGCTTGCATAATCGAAATTAAAATTTATGTCGTCGTTTTATTAGAAGATATTACATTAAACACAAACAAAAAGGCAATGCCCAAAGGTCAAATAACTTGCCGCAGTAGAGCAGTGCTCTTGGTCTAGGACCGGGATGGCGAACCTTTTTCCATGAACGGGTCAAAGAATATAATTCATGAATATTATGTAATCGAAGTTTGCATCAATGCAAAACTTGCTGTTGCAGCATCCCTGGTTGGAAACATATAATACACATGCTGCAGCTATGTCATGACTGAGGCGATTTCTCGTACTCGACTTTATGAAGTCATGTGCGGCATAATTTTTCCTTTT